TCTAATTTCTTAAAACCTCGAGAAGTCGAGCAAGTGTACACAGACCAGGAAGACTTTTTCGTCCTAAAACTGTGTGCTTCCCCCTTAAAACACGTCGGATCTTTGCGTCCAACTTGCTCCTCGCTTTATCTTGGCTGGTCTGCCCATTACCTTCGACCTAATTACCAAATTTAAATGTCTAATTACTTCTTCCATAGCGTTAGCTACACTCACCTCCTCCTCCTCTTCCTCTTAGTGTTCCCCTCAGGCCCACCGAATCTCTTTCCTCGCCCGATTTTCTTTGTTTCCCTCGAAATCCTCGTAGCTACTTGCGACGAAACGAGCACATACAAAATGAGGATTGATCGAATAAATTCCCTATGTCCCTACCACAGGGTGGCGGTGCAAAAGGATGGGTTGAGCATCGTTTTGGTCGACTTCGAGTTGTTTGTTGAGCCAGGCGATCGATTTTCCAGTTCCTCGAGAAAGCACGGCGGAAACGGACGGGTTCCAACGATCGTTAGTCCCGTCGACCCTGTAAACAGAGAATATGGAATTATTATCGGCGACAGAAACGTTTCCTCGGATTCCTCGAGGGGCTACTCTCCCCCGTTACGAGACACGGGTGTATATCCGGGGGCGGTTCTCTGCAAACGATTGCATAAGAGGAATTTCTTTTCTCTCTATCAATCATCCCCCTGCCCCCCATCTTTAACGATTCTATGAACTTATGTGAAACGGACCTGAAATTACATGGTTTACGCGAATCGAGCCTTTTAGTACTGATTTACCAATCACTAGTTTTACCAAGTTCTATGCACAGTGAGACCAATAAGTGGTGATATTAATTGCGTTCGAAACGTGTCATTACGTGCTCTCGATGTTGAATAAATCATGCAGGTAATGAGAAACGAATATGTCGTGTTAAGTACACATACTTATACAGTTTACATTCAAGAATAAACTAAGACGGTCTCTTTTATCCGGCTACGATGAGGTCACGTTGAACGTAATCTGCATTTTTCTCTTCACTTGGAACATATCTGTTTTTACCATTCTTCGTTGTAACACTAATTTGCTTGGATAGTTTTTATAGACTATAGACAGTCGAGATAAATGGAACGCGGCCTGTTTAACTATGTAGTTTGTATAGCTTCCAAGAATTGAAAAAAAATGCTTTGGAAAACAAATGATATGGAAATACAGTAGAACCTCGATTTCATCGGAACACGCTCCGTTAACCTAGAACGTTCTTTCATCGTAACGTTCTATTTAGAACTGCAAGTATTCGGATTGATCGAACTATTCGAATATTTTCGAACAGTACGAAGTATTCGAATATTTGAACATTCGATTAGTATGAAGTATTCTCCGGCGAATCCACATCGTTTTCGGAGACTTTTTACAAGAGTTCATTCAGTTCGAAAAAAAGTTAAATCGGCGTGGTATATTACAATTCCTGCATAGCAACGATAGCTTTATCGAACAAGTAAAACACACAAATTGATTACCAAAACATTCAGAAAAAAGCCATTAGCCTCCCAATATGAGACTGGTTTACATCATACCTTAACAGGAAACATTTTACGATCAGCTGACGGTAAAAAGCCTACGGGTTACATTTTTTCCTTCCCCTTATTGGTTAATTTACTTATTTCTTTTATTATATATTATTACCCAAAGTCTTAATAAGAATAACAATGATACTTGACCTAGGCTCTCCTCTATATTTTATCCTTCCTAACTTCGGTTTCGTTACATTCCTTTCACGTCGTTGTCCCATCTCATCGTCAGTCATTGTCACGTATACAACGGAAGAGCTCGCGGATCGATTCTGTACCTCTTACAAAACGATCTTCAAGGCCACTAATTATTTTTCGTCGTTCCTTCGATCGTTTCCTTGTCAGTTGTACCTCGGCCAGCGAGACGGCCGCCGTTTTTGCGTGTCACGACGGATTTACCTTATTTCCTGTGTGTGTCTGACATGGAAAGGAACTTTGTTACTCCACGAGGGGTTACGTAAATCGGCTCTAGCCCCGGGGGCCCTGACCATCTTTCTCCTATTCCGTTGCCGTCTTTCCCTTCCACTCTACTAGTCTTCCTTCCCGTGGACAATGTGTACGTCGAACAGACACGTCCGTATCGACACGTTTGAACCAATACCTCCAAACCAACAGGTCCGAACCAATACCACTGAACCTATACCTCCGAACCAACACGACCCGCAGTTGAATCGGCGGTTAAGGGAGCCTGCGAAACCAAAAGCAGAAATATTTACACTCTTTTCTTGTTCGAAATAAAAGCAGAAAAATATGCTTCTCCTTCTCGATATCCCATGTTTAAAATGCCGTCAAAATTCTAGAAAGAAACCTAATCTTTAAACTTTTCGTCGCAAAAATGTATGGTTGAATGTTGGCTATCCAATACAATCGAATAACGATATTGAAATATTAAATTGTATCACGGATTCCGTGTGAAATTTTTTTTCTGCAAACTTTCGCACGTGGCACGCAGCCACGTGGAACAATCCCCGATTTAGAAAGAGCTTCTATCGCGAATAATACCATTCCCGATTTGGACTACGTAACCGTCGGAGCGGTGTGATTCAATGGCTGCATTTCGTTCGAATGGAAATTACGATCCACGCGTTTCTTTGGCGTGTATACGCAATGTGACTCAAACAGTTTGTTCACGAAGAGTTGTCACTTCTAACCAAATTACTTACCGAAAATGCGAACTTTATTTCAAAGTTAAGAAAAATTTCTGACAAATGGATGATTAATGTAACGATAAGGAAAATGTATAAATAGAAATTGCCTCGTATTTTGACACCAAATTGTGTATTTTAGAAGTCAGTGAACAAATGTGAGTCACTGTATGTGTCAGCTGATCGCGGTGCGCTTTTAAATCGCAGCACCGGCATTATTCTCGTCGCGTAGGTTCTCGAGGTGGCAAATGTTTGCGACCGCGGGAGAAATAATATTGGCATAAGAATGTAGCCGTCGATCGTGACGATATTCGTTTGCGCAGCTACGAGCGCAATTTGTAACAAGCTTTGTGGTATATTTAATCGCTAGACTGTTCGATTTTAAGAGTAAAGCATTAGTGAAGCGTTCGATAAATTTCGATGAGGTTTTCCGTTTTACTTAACCCTTTCAGACCTGGTGGCCACATTTGTGTGCATGAAGTTTCTTGCAATTTCACACAAAACCTTAGGTAAAGTGACGCTGTTTTTCCTGTAAAAAATTAATTCTATCTCGAAGTTGTTCCCCTAATCGATTTTCGTCATTTCCACTGCCTTTCTCCGTTGCCAATACATGTATACGTATGTGCAGCAACGTTCGAAACAGGTTTCGAGTGCGTTCTCGTAATCCCATTTTCCTCAAAGAGATATTTTTCCCACCGTGCAACAATTAACGACTGTGTCCCCGTCAGTCTAACGGGAACATAAATTTCATGTTGTCGCGGATATTCCATCCACGTTCACCGTGATTCATGGAATCAACGTTAGACGTTATCTTTCGCCTGTCCACGCTGATAAACCAGTAAATGAACATTTCTAACCAGTGGCGCGGAAATTATTCGAATATTAAAGAAGGAATTGAAAAAATTCAATATTCTATCATTTGTTTTTCTTAATAAGTTAATTTACTCGTTTTTATATATAATGTTCATTCACTGGTACGTGTTTATTTATTGGTGCATCCAGCGTAGTAAAGATTTTTCTCCGACAAATATTCTTCGCTTATCTGGTCAACCTAACGCTAGAACCACGGACGATGAACGCATGTCTATTTCCGTTCGATCGATAATGTTGGTGAAAACTGTTTGAAAATAATCAAATTTACAAATCAGCTAATATATTCATTGTTCATAGTGCATATAAAAGTCACGAAACATCCGAGATAATTTCACTGTCGTACTTCATTTTTTTTTGTTTGCCTTTGGTAGTTCTAGCGCGGTAAACGGTCAAAACCTGGACACCGCCTAGTCATTGTTTATCGAGCAACAAGTGCATCGTTATTTATCAATCGAGCTGTCCTCGGTGTCCGGTGGGAAATGATACCACACGCTGCCAGCCCACCTTGATAACGCAGTTCTCTCGGTCAACTTCCCGTGCGCGGTCGTGATATTCTCCAGGCGAACCGACACGCACAGACGGATTCCAAAAACCTATACGCGCAATTACTGAAATCTTTCAAATTTTTAGGAACTAAGAGAATTTATAATCTTTAATACATAGGCAACCGCGCCGTTGCCTCGAACAAAATTCTGTGCTCTCCGAAAGTTCACCGAAAGAATCATTCGAACAAGACTCACAGAGCCGTAAATAATATCGTAAATAAATCGTCCGAGTTTGTGGAGAAATCGTTGCGAAACGTGCGATTTCGTGGATCAATGAAAAGTGAGGAGAACCAGGGAAATTAAATGTTCATAGCAGAACAAGCGTTCTACACAACAGCGCAAGAGCGTTCGCCAAGCGTAACGACTGGAGAAACACAACACGCTTTCGCTTGTCCGACATGGATTCGCTGGAATAATTACTCGGCTTTGCTAAAAGTAGATCGTCGTTCAACCAACACTAGTGACTCACAGAACTGGAGGGGAGGGAACGTGACGAACTTACGGCGTCCATTGTTACAGTGTTGTCGAACGATCGTTCGGCCGGTTTCGATGCGTTAATCAAAAGGTTTGCCAATCGAATATGTTCGGTGGTTAGCGTCGACTATGACGGGTCGAAGGATGTATTGACGGCGAGGTAAAGCTGTTGGATTCCCCTGAAAGTTTGTCCTTGGAGAACAAACGAGAAGAACCGCGAAAACTGGAGAACCTTTAAGGTCGTCGCTATGGAGAACGGAAGTTAGTTTAAAAATCGTGATTACCGACGATTAGATCCTGGCCGTCAGGACTGAAATATACATATATGTTTATACCAATATCTTTCTGTTATTTTGTGACCTCTGTTCCCACAGACACAATATAGGTGCTAAACAGGTTTTGTTTTTTTGTCACGGTTACAGGAACAATGCTGACCGACTGGGAAAAAATGCCGTCTCTGAAGCTCGGGGACTTCACGCTCGAGATCGAGCTTGGCGAACCGAGCGAGGAACTGAAGGAGGTCGCGAAGAAGGAGCTCCGCGAGTCCCCTGAGCTCCAGAAAGAGGCCGTCGCTAAGCTGAAGGAATTGTTGAAAGGTGACACGAATTTTTCTGTCTATTTACCCGTCCAACGAACACTTAAGAGGACCGTTCTGGCTAGAAAGAATTCCTCATAGAATTAAAAAATAAGAGATTAGTATGCCCGAAAATGCACCCTGATTCAAAGCGATTCGTGGAATTAATTAAAAACGATTTCAGGGACACCCATATTAATACTCTTTTTCAGCTACATCTATTTAAAATGTATTTATGAATATTAATGACAATCAATTGGTTGGTTATCCCCCTTTTTTTGTTAGGGAGTTTATTCACAACAAGTGTGAACTTTTGTAACATATGTAGTGTCTTTACAAAATACTCTTCAAAGCATTATACTGATCTGAGTTGGTTACAAACAATTCAAGCATTTCTTTTTGTTCATAACTTTGTAATAAAGATATGGGTGGCAATAATATTCACTGTATCTGTACTACTTGAATGTACGAAGAATTAATCGTACACGATGTGTGCCAGTATCCCTCGAATGTTTAATTAAAATCTCTCGATCGATCGCGGACGATGTTCACAGCCGAGACAGACCTGAAGGTGCCGCTCGACAACGATGCCTGGCTGATCCGTTTCCTTAGGCCGTGCAAGTACTATCCGGAGTCCTCGCTGAAGCTGGTGAAGAACTATTACAGCTTCAAGGTGAAGCACAAGAACGTGTACCACGATCTGAAGCCCAGCCGCGAGAAGAACATATTCGAGCAGAATATACTGACCGTGTTGCCGAACCGCGATCAACACGGCCGACGGATACTGATCATCGAGCTCGGGAAGAAATGGAAGCACAACAAGTGCAGCCTGGACGAGGTGTTCAAGGGTTGCGTGCTCTACGTGGAAGCGGCTATGTTGGAGCCGACCACGCAGGTCGCGGGGGCGGTCGTGATCTTCGATATGGAGGGACTTACGTTACAACAGACCTGGCAGTTCACGCCGCCGTTCGCGAAACGGATCGTCGATTGGCTCCAGGATGCGGTTCCTCTTAGAGTCAAGAATATTCACATCGTCAATCAACCGTATCTGTTCAACATGGTGTTCTCGTTGTTCAAGCCGTTCCTCAGGGAGAAGCTGAAGAACAGGGTGAGAAAGAGGGAGAGAACGAGGGAGTTTTTCCATTTTTGCCCCGCTGACTAAGGACCCCAACACTTCGATTTTATCGATTTTCTTTGATGTTTTGCAGATTATTTTCCACGGCACGGATCGCAAGACCCTGCACGAGTACATAGCGCCGCAATGTTTGCCAAGCTGTTACGGTGGCACCCTGCAAATCCCCCGTGTCACCGGGCCCCAGTGGTTGGCACTGTTGGTGATGTGCGACAAGGAGTACGACGGTACGCGAGATTCTTGTATCGAACCGAGTCTCGGTTCCGTTGGTCGGACACGACACGTCCGCCGAATAAACCGCGAGTTTCGTTCGAGACATGTCTGTTGTAATAATTTCCCTGAACACCTAGAATTAGTAGTGTCGCGGAAAGTTAGCAATGCGAGGATAGCTATGTTAACGATTCCAGTTCATACTCACTGATACTGATATTAAAGTAAATTTCGATTTGGTATCGAGTAATACGAAAGACCGCAGGTGTCGAAAGGAATCCCTGCCGGTTGGATACTTACACGAAGGTATCGACACCTGCTCAATACTTTTGCGAAAATATCCAATCGATACCTAAAGTATCGGCACCAGTGCCGTAGCGAACAAATTAAGATTCATATAAATAGACTGCAGAAGTTTATGCAAATTATTTTATTCGATTCCTTCGAACGTTTACTAGTCGAATGCTTCTGAACTTCTCGATTCATTCGACGTTTAGCCGAGTCTACGATGCTCATTGACCCTCTGTATTTATTTTCAATCGACGTTGGCTGAGTTCCCTGTTTTGTTTTTTTTTCCAGCGATCAACTCGTACGGTTACCAAAACACAAAATAGCCGGTGACCACACACGCTGCAACCAACGTCCCTCCGAGAATGGATGAAGAGGAAAAGACGATTGTCTCCGGTGGATCGGTAACCGGAAATCGAATAGTCGAAAGGCGATCCCCGAGCAACGACGACGGCTTTAGTTATTTATAAAGAAAGAAGCGACGACGGGGGCTTGTTTATTGCTGTCACCACCAATGCTGAATTTTTCTACCAATTTACGAGCAACGTAGAAATATTTATCTAGATTTAGAGGAATTACGATATATATATATACATATAAGTTGAATCGATGGAGAATTGTCTCTCGATAAGAGTTATATCGTTCTCCAATTTTCCACTCGAAACGAGACAGAAAAAAAAACTTAACGAGACGCCTGGCGTGGCTCGTATAACGATCGATGAAATTGATTAATTGTGGAAGTTAACACCTTTTTGGTGCTTATCCTGTCCCGATGCGGCGATTCTTTAATGATCCCCATCGCATTCGTTGTTTGTTTACAATTCGGAGCGTGTGTGTGTGTATGTGTGTATGTGTGTGTGTCCCAATCCGTTGTTTATCGACAGATTTTACATAGGAGAAATATGTATGTACTTAATTAGAGGCGGCACGACGTAAACGTGGTTGTAATTAACACATGCTTGCTCGTATCCGAACGATAAACCTATTTTTCTACGTGAATTCTTTCTGCACACTCTCATGGAAACGAATCGAGCTTAGCGGCCTCTGTACTACTGCACACGCTATATATTTCATTGAGAAATCGTTCGTCGTGTGTGTGTGTTGTTTCCTCTTTTTTTTTTGTTTGTAAATTTCGATGTCAATTAAACACATGTTTCCGTCGAACCGAATAAGAAATGAAAGTTCTTTGGCGAAAACCGTATACGTATATAGTATCTTTATTGGACGTGAAAAAGGCGACACGAAAAATCGTACTTATTATACGTAAGAAAATAATTATAATCTCTGTTGATGATCTTCTTTATCGTCGCCGTTACCATCCATAATATTATTGTCCCGAATTCGCTGGTCCTTATTCTGTTTAACAATGTCTGTTCATGTTTTCGAAATATTCGCCATTTCGTGGGTGTGATATCACTGTGAACCGCGAATTCGAACTAACAAAAGGTTCCTTTTTTGTTTCATGGAAAACATTACACAGCCCATAAAACTGTGCTTTCACTGGATATCGTTAGATAACCGTTGAGAACGCTTCGTTCTGTCCTCACCTAACACAGTGAAAACCTTAAAGAATAAGTTAGAGCTTCAACAATTCATTACTTAAAACTAATTCTCGATGCCCCACCCTATCTCCCCACGTTATATTGTCTCCGCGAACTGTTCGTCTTTAAACCACGAAAATCCACGCGATCCCAAACTTTTCTCCGTGCATTCTGGGCCTTTGAACGAACAGCCCCTCCCTTTCTCCTTACCGTTTCGCGATCTTCGCGTATCCCCACTGATTCGAAGCTGAAACAAAGAAAACACAAAATAGTGAGAATGCTCCGTTCGCTACAAATTGAACACGAGAAGACAACACACGATAATAATATAAAAAGGGGTCGAAGAGCTCTCTGTGAATCCTCCTGGGTTAGGTGATTTGTCAGCAAAATTAACAGGGAAACGCCACTGTTGGCGGGAAACAGCAAAAGCAAGTAACCCCGAAAACTTCTGACTGTATCTGACCCTATATAGTGACTCGGAAGTTTGTTCGCTTCTCCTTGGCAGTGCTGACGAGCCTTTGAACACTCACCCAAGATTTACTGTACACGGAAAGGTGATTTGTGAAGAGGAAGAAGCTTACTACTATCTTTCCTAAAAACTTTCATTAAAATCAACGATTCCAAGGTTGTAGACCACTGCTTGTAAAGGTTTCATGTCGACCGACGACGTGACAGCAAACGTATCGATGAAACAACTCCGATTCGAGTATATAGTAGTCACGTGGCGTATTTTATTCTCAACGGATCGATGAAAATTCAATGTCGCATAGAAACAATACAAAATAACAAGTCGTATAAAGCTACCGACGCAACCGGCCTCGACAATGAACTCTATAATTTGCAAGGCAATGACACCTGGCAGCAGGAGGGGAGTCAGCCGTCCTTCAAAGGAGCCCCCGAACTCGCGGGACGTTCGTTACGTGGCTCTTTTCGAACCTGGATGATTAAGCGTGTTTTGTACATACGATCATCAAGGAAAATTACACCGGATTGCGTAACGAAAATGCATTGTAATGGCGGGCTGCGAGGAGAAGGACGTGACGTGTAGGTAATCAGTAGAGCTGTAAGTAATCGGATATTCGAACATTTCGAATGATTTCGAATACAAATCATTTATTCGAAGAATTCGAATAATTCGTATAGTACGAGGTATTCGAACATGTAATTCGAATGGTATAAAGTATTCGAATATATATCATACGTCACTGAGCGTGTCGAATGAGTGTTACACCGGTGCAGGATTGCGAGTTAAAGGATTAATTACCAGAAAAAGATAAAACGGCGTGATTACCTTCGAAATCTTTCTCGAAGCAGCAGAAGTAGTCGCAGAGGCCGTCGCCCAGAGGTTCATTGGGCATCACCAGTTCACCACCGAAACTGGTGGGCAACGGTTTGGTGCCCAGGTACGAGGTCAGCGACTTTCTGTCGGTCCCGTGGAAATGGATCCTCTTCCGTGTTTTTTCCTACGAAATCGAAAAGCGTTTCAAACGTTACCAGTTTTATACGATCGCCCGTAATTTTACCGCGAAGATACTGATCTGAATTGTGAAAGTTGTGCTTGGAGAAGAAGATCAAACGAAAATGGCGGTACAAAATGGACTAGCTCGACATTGTGAGTAAAGAACAATTCTATGAAAATCAAAGATGAAACGTTTGTGAGGCTCACCATAAGGAAAGGTTTGAAAATCGCAAAGACCATATTGAATATGAACGGTTGATTCACAATATGAATGCCCTTCAGGCGACACGGTAGGCATCTTTGCACCCATTCAGTTATCATCGCGGCGAAACTCGGCGTGAAGTACGTCACCTGGCTAAGCGAGAACCCGTCCATGTTCAAGATTACATGCACCCCAGCGATCTGAAAAACAAAAAAAAAAGATCGTCAGTCGATCAAAGGGAACTATCGATCGCAAAAACGGTACCACAGAAACATATAATTCTCGAATGCGTGTTTACCTATTTACCTACACGATGGCCTAACCATTTTATATCTAGATACCAACGTTTCTCCGTAAATTTTAATTGCATTCGATCTAGAAGGCTGTTCGAAAATAAAGGTCTTAGACAGATCTCGTTTTCAGAACCAAAAGCGTTGATTGGACATTTTTTACAGCCCTACTAGGTAAATACAGTAAATTCTCGATGAGTATCCGAAGGCTCTACGGCACTGAACATTAAATATTTCATAAACTAATGGCCGTATGCGGCTGAAACAAATATCATTACCTTCGGAATTCCCAGCTCTATCACTACAACCTCTTTTCTTCGAACACTCATCGATGATTTACTGTACGTGTACCATAATTGTATTCGAACGTTCTCTGTACATCTGCATGCACACCTGAGTTTTCGGCTCGGCCATCGCAGCGTCCAGCGACAGCATAATCGCACGGAATATCTCGTCGAGGCTGATCACCTTCGGGTTCCACTTCTTCCCCGCGTTGATGAGGAGAATCCTGCAACCCTGTGCCGTACGATCCGGCAAAGGGATCAGTATCTCCGAGGACAGCAACTTCGTCTCCGAGCTCGGCAGCAAACTGTCGCAGTAACGTGGATTGTTCAGCCGGAACTTGTAGAACCGTTTGATCTGTCGAACATATTCAACGAACCATTAACATTCTGTTCTTTTTCGAAATTCCAGATCAGAAACCTCAATTTCTGATCAGTTTCGATATAGATATTACTAAATCTCTTAAGTGATCAGAAACTGGGTCTGTAACGGTACCTTTCAATCGTTCGAATTGACAAACGTGTATTATATAGGTATGTTCGCAGGGAAATATTTTCAGACGACAACTGTAATCGAAACTCACCAGTTCGAAGGCACTTTTCGGGTGCCATTTGCAGGGACGCAGGAACTTGTAGAAGAATTCATCGTCGTCCGGCAGATTGAAATCGGGCTCGCCTGGAAATGCGAATGCGCAACGAAGGTATCAAAGACTGAATTTATTCAACTTTACCTCCGCGTTTCTCCGTCGTACAAGAGGAGGACGAACGAACGCAGTGGTAATTAGGGTGAATGCACCGGTAAATGAACACGTACCAAGTGAATGAACATTATACATACAGGGTGTACAAAAAAGAGACGAGTATCCCAGATTAACTCTGAAGGATTAAATTTTAACAAAAAAATGTTCTATACAAAAATTTTTGGATTTAAAAAGACACATCTGAAGGTGACCTTGATTATGACATAGGGATCAAATTTAGTGGTCATTCTGATCAGTCAAGTAAAGGTCTCCAGATGTAACGCTGACTCTTTAATGAGGTTTAGCACAGAGTTTGGAATTTTGAAGCCAATGATATTTGTTTCAACTACATATGGCCATTAGATTATGAAATATTTAATGTTCAGTGCCAAGGAGCCTTCGAACACTCATCAAGGATTTACTGTAGACGGTAAATCGTTCTGGTAGCTTCCTCCTAGTCAGAAGTGTCACTCTCGGTTTCATCGAGTCGCAGCAGTTCCGGGCGACCACGACGGTCAAGTGGAACTTTCATTTTCAACCGGACCGGTTCTCCGAGCGGCGCGACTTTTCGCGTGATTTCATCAAACAGCCGTGGATTCCGTCGATCGTGGAGAGTTCTCACGCTTCTCGTGGCTGATCGTGATCTTTCGACGGAACCGTGGATCCACGGGGAGGAACGATATGGCGGATTAAAGGAATGTTTGTTCTTTTCTAGGTTGAATTATCTGTATATTACGGAGAGTTTGTATTCTTCGGATCAATGAAACGCACGTAGATCGGTTAACTAAATTTTTTTTCGAGTTAGAACGAATTCGCCAATCCATAAGCCTGTTGCAACGGGGATTGCTGGTTTCCCCCGTGGACACTCACCTTTAACCATCGCCCTGATGTCCTTCAAGGCTTGCTGGACAACGTCAGGCGTCTCACGGAGCTCCTTCAACGCCTTCTCCCTGTAAAATTCGTCCCCATCGTCGAATTCGGCTGTGAGCACGTACGTACCGCACCTGAACCGTGGCACCTCTCTCTGCTTCGTGACCGTACCACCGCCGCCATCTTGTTCCCGTTGCAGCGACATCCCGTTCATGGGACTGTCCCGCTTGTAGTGGTCCGCGAACACTATCTGTCGGACATACATCGTGAACCACGCGGGTGGTTGTGATAGTGGAAGTGGTTGTGGTGGTTTTAGCCCACAAACAATAACACAGTGACCACTTCTCTTCTTCTCTCCCCCTAGTCACTCTTCGGAGAGCTTCGATCCGTCCCTTCCTCGTGTCCCTGTGGTGTTCTAATGTTGTCGGCCCTGTGTGTGTTTCCTGTGCTGGTGTGGCTGTAGTGTGTCCCCTGTCGACTGTGTGTAACTTGTATGTGTGCGGTGGTGTCCCCCTTTGTCCCACCTGATCGTGTTCGAAATATGTTTTGTATGATTAAGGGCATGTGTACATACGCGCAGAGAGACGTACAGGTTGAACAGGTGTGGAGAAACGGGAGAAGAGACGTGGAACTGAACCGGAAATGGATGGCGTGTTCGCCAGCGATTCCGCTCTGTTCACACGGTTCTCGTCCACGTGACCATGGGCACGAGTAGGAGGAAGGCGTTTGAACATTCTGGATGAATTTCCTGTACTAGTAGTTTTACTACGTTAACTCTAGGATGCATGACGCGAGTACTTTATACCCACATAAATATTTATTCTTAGGTTTCTTTCTTGCATGTCAAAATAATTGCGCTGCACAAAAACATTGCTTTATGTACCCAACAAAAAAAGACAGAAAATGCAATAGAGTCTGTGTCAACTGTGGAAACCAGATATGTAAAAAACATATATTTTATGTTTATGTAAAAAAGTGTAGATAGTAAATGTTTACACTAATGTTATCTGTATATTCGTAGAGTGTTGATTTGTGCATACAAAAATTTGTTTTATGCTGTGTAAGTTGCTGTGAGTATTTTTTACCCATGGTAGATAGGTATGTAAATCTAATGAACCCTGATTCATGCATCGTAGAGTTAACGATAACACGTAAAATGTTAAAGTCCATTGGAATCTTTATTTTATCGCTTTTCCCAAGTTACGAGATGCCACGAACGCACAAGTATCCGCAGTCTGGTGATATCGTTTGGTATGAAAAAATAGACTTTAATTATCGATCAGATTTTATTTTATCGACAGACAGTTTTCAACACCCGAAACTAAATTTTTGTTTGGCTGTCAGTCTTTCTAATTGTACTCTGCGTGTACAGACGCGCGAGTATTTATGTTGAAACGCATAGTCCGATAACAATACATAGTGTCACTGATGAGTAAATATTATTTATCGTGTACTGGCCCGGTTCACGCTGTCACAAAATTTAATGTGTCATTCGAAATGAAAGCCATACGCGATGTCCAATCGAAATATCAAGAAACGTGAGACGCATGGCTGATGAAAATGATACGAGAACACGTCTGTAATAAAAAAAAGAAGACTATGGTGCAGATTTTACGAGTCAGTGACGTCACCTTAGCCATAACACTAACAGAATGAATTAAAATAGTTAACGAGAATGTGTATTCGATGTGTTCGTAATCCTGCGGTTTACCTCTCTATTTCCATAATTTCCTTGTTTCAATATTGAAACTGTGACGAGGACACCTTACTGTACCAAGTATGTACACATACATACTTTACCAAGAAATCTCATTTCGGGCTGACCACCCAGGCCCATAAGAGGACACGAGTACTTTCTCCACAAAATTGGAGCTTGATACGACACACAGAGGAGAAAGTCGAAAGAATCATCAATGATCTTGAAACTTCAAAGAATATGACATTGAGAAACATGTTTGCTTATCATCAGTATTTACTCCTTCTAATCAAATATGTAATACTATTCCCCTCGCATGTTTTTTGTATCTTCAAAAACAAGCAAGATATCGAAGGTGCTCACGTTAGATGGGACCATCATGTATATTTTCCTGGGAATCGACGTTCGTTTCCTAATATTGACATTGGCTGATGTTTGCAATGATCAACGCGACATTCAAAGAATCACCGAAGAAGAAGGTGTCCACGAAACACGTGTAATTTTTCTTGTTAGCCCTCTTGTTCCGTCGCCGATTTTTCGAATGCCTCGTTGGAAATCACGACTCACCCTTTCGACGACCGATCCCCCACTGTCTGCGAATTGCGCGAACAGAAGCAGCCGTGGCAATGTACATGTGCAACATCTACATACTCTCTATTTATATTTAGCGTGCCCCAATCTGACGTCTCTCGGTCAGATGTCGCAATTAAACATTGACCGATGATCGAATCAAGACCAACTACGCAGCGATTGACTTGCAATCACGTTGAATTCTTATCAACGGGGGCATTGCTGGATGAACGATTAACATTATCGTACGCGATACACAGAGCGTCGAGCTTCCGCGCTGGAATTCCAGCGGTAAACGAATTATAAAATGCTCGTTTATGAAGGAGTTATGAACCCTTTGGTCCGATACACAAGTATACGGAAGTCTAGAGGAGTTCTCCAAAGGAATTCGAACGAAGAATTTGAATGAAGAAATTGAACCATGAATTCGAAGAACTCAAATGAATAATTTGAATGGTGAATTCCAACGAGGAATTCGAACGTAGAATTCGCACATAGAATTCAAAGGAAAAATTCGCCTAGAGGAGAAAGTTCGTTCACTCTGTTTTCATTTCCATTCAGCGAGTCTTACGTCACAGTTGACGCGGATTACCCTAAAGTCAACGACGAATTCGTATTCAACTGTGCAACCGGGTGTCCTATACTGCAGTCTCTTAGGCAGATGATTGCACAGCGAATGCATAAGAGAGGATACGGCCGTTACTTCGAGGGAACTACGAGTACATTATTTCGAAATTTCTGGTAAATCAAGTCAGATTCACGGAACGTTTGAAGATTGACTGGTCAGAAGAAGGAGAGCTTGCTGCCGCCGACTGTTCCTGCTCTTTAAGGTTTCGACGAAGGATTTAGACGGAGAAATTAATCCATAAAACTTCGATATTCGCATAAACATCCGCAGTCTAGCTAATCAGACGTAAAACCCAATTTAACTCGACTTTGCCTCGAGTGTCACGGTGCTCACTGGTGTAAATAGATCCCGAAAGGAAACATTCAACTTCGAACAAGTAACATCTCCGATTTCGCGAATAACACAAATACGTTAATAGTAACAACACCAGTACCAAAAAAAAGCAGCGATAACGAATCCAGTACCTGATTAGACCCAAAGAGACTCTCCTCTCTTCTACGATGCACCAAGAAAGCAGGCCCTGGGAATCTTTCGCAGTTTCAGTCGCGATGTTCCTCCCAAGGGTCGATCCTCGCGCACTCGATCACGAAGTTTCCCTCCGTTCTCTTCGATAGAGAATAAAGACTTTTCTTCTTCTGTCACCGTCAGAATCTTCCCCGAAGACACGACACACTAGGAGGATCTCATTTCACGGTCGCAGCCGCGAAAGAAGTGATATGTGTACTCTTGATCGTACCGAGTGGCCGCGTATCAGGTCTCGTACGCCAGACAGAGACGGGGATAGAAGAGGTGAATGATTCTGCAAACAGGCCGGAGAAACAGGTTGTTGTGGGTACGCGAAACGAAAGGATGATCCAACTTAGTCGGGACACTGGCGAGGACTGGCTGTTGGCGAACGCCTTGCTGTCAGAAATCAGCCTGGAAAGCAACGGTTCGCCGAGGAGCGTGTTTCTCCCCACCATAGAGTTTCCACCACGGAGGGGTCTACCGCCCTGGGTGTGTGTGCGCGTGTTCGTGACAGTGGAAAGGAAGGATAGAGGTTACCCTATTGTCGCGATTGGCCCTAATTAAATTTCAATGTGGACAATGGTGTCAAATGTCGGGACATTATAATAGTCAAAGAATGACCTGTTGCTGCCCTTTCTGGGTTTGCATTTTCATTCCGTCGACGTTACCACCACCTCTGTTCCAAACTTCGACGGAACTGCACTGGTTATCCGAGATGGAAATCGCGAGTTACGCAGGTGTACGTATGGATATGTATAATGTACAATCCTCTTCTTTCATCTACACGGAACATTTTTGCTTTGTATCGGAGGTGGAACGTTCGGAATCCTTCCGATGCACTCGACAGAGGAAAGCTCTCTTCTACATATGTCACCGTCGAAGAGCCGCCATTTTGTCGGCGACTCGGGGACACTGTGGCGGCCATCTTGGTGCCACGATTAGTATTTTCGGAGTTTCAACTGAATCGTAAATAAGGTAGGTACTATTTACTTGTGTATGATCTCTATCTCGTGTATATAAATATTAACTGATCGGTAACCCCTTATTGCATGGAATTTTAATTTGATAAATACATATGTTTTTATTTCTGAACGATTGAAAGTAAGTGGATGCGGTAAGAGGTTAAATGTTGGTACCGTTTATATGTATTTGTATTTTGCCGGTTCGTTAAATATCGTCTCGTGTTTCAGAAACGACGCGAGCGTGACGCAACCTCTGTTGTCATTGTATATCACCGGCCTCGTTTCGTACATACCGTAATTTCCGAATCGGATTGCCTCGTGACGAGTTTGGGTCAAGTTCGAAAGCGTTCCTGCAAATTATGCAAATGTTTCGGCGAGCTTCTCCGTACAACGGGATTCGTTCACTGTCGACGATTTCGTAATTATTATGTCACGTCCGTTTTTCCAAACGCTGACCCGACCGATAACGCTCTTCAGACGCGGCCATCTTGCCGCGATTTTTGTTTTCATGAATTCGTGCTCGAACAAAACTACACACGAATGTCCGACAGTTTCAACATTTCTCTGTTACACATTTTGCGACCGAAACTCATGAGTAGTCTACGAAAGTTTCAATTAGAGTTTTCAGTAGGAATAACTTAAAAATTCAAATAGGGCGTAATCTTTAATTCTGTACTGGGGGATTCACTACACATTTTTAATAACTAGACTGCGGATTTTATGCATTTATAGACCATAGGGCACTGTGAAATACAATAAAAAACGAAACTTTCATCGGATTCAATGAGTTTTCCATTTTAGTCTGAACTCAATATGATACGTAAGAGAAAAAATAAATTTCTACATTTTCGCCTGTCTTTATAAATCACTTTAGAAAATGTTACTTTGCATAAAAATCCGCAGTCTGTTAATAACACATGAATAATATTAGGCTTTATTAAAATCTCTGTATGCTTACATTTTGCAAATTAAGTAATGCTATATACATAAATGCATAAACATCCGTCAGTCTACTAATGAGACATCCAGAACATTGGAATTTCATCCGACAATCAAAATTTAACGCGCGAAGAAAGTTCGATGTGCCGAATAAAGCATAGATTCTCTGTTTGATTCGAATTCGTAACATTGCAAATATGATGTTCGATTGGTGTACAATCGAAATCCGGTTCTCGAACGTTCGAGGTGTTCGCTGTAATTGCAGACTATTGTTAGCATTATTTCGCGCAGGAAGAAAAGTTATACCGTCTACTACGTAGTTCCGAAACAAAACGATATCTATCTGGGATCGGAATGTTTTATGTAGCACCCGTTTTGCTTTTTAAATCGATCGTGCGATACTAAATTTTACATGTATACAACGCGACAACGCGTTCCCATTGGTCTAAAGGGGAGAGGGGGGGTTGACACACGGGTCACGTACGCCCGTGAAAAATCACATTACTGTTCGTTTTACACGATGAATACCTAATAACGAGATCACAATTATGAAAGACACGCGACGGACCAGGAGAAAGCCTTAAGCCAGGTCCAGCCACGTGCATTGCAAAACACTCTTGAAATGGTCGATTTTAATAGATCGACGACAGAGATGGGCAAATTCGTTATCTAAATAAAAAATTTCGAATAACGAATTAAAGATAAAAAAGTACTACGCCATTTTTAATAGCATAACCGTGAAAATTTCAATTTTTACAATAACATAATACTTTCTTTTCGAATGAGTAGACACTTGGCAAACAATTATTTCATTTCATTAACTGTTCAAAGGCCAGGATGACGATCCCATATACTGCTGTTTTTCACGAATAAAGTTGTGCACAACTGTGGTCAACGAGCAGCTAACGACTTCGTGCAACGTCAAATCGAAAACGAACATTCTGACGCACATGTAGAAAATATCAGAAGGAATGTCTATGTATTTGTTAAATTGCTGTTGCATGTTGCTCGAGTGTGGACGGGATTTTGACCGCGCTGAGCGTATTCGTGCTCGCTGTTGCACGTGCCTGGACCTGGCTTTACGAAGCACATTTCCCTGTGTGAAAGTCCCACGACTCGATAACTTGCCCTCGCTCTGACGCGACATCTTTTTCCGTTATTCATCGCGTATATACAGGGTGTCTCAACTAACTTGATCACCTCGAATACTGACTTAACGGTACACTTTATGAAAATTTTGAGGCGTGAAACTTAAATGGCATCAAGGGGCACATCTTATGAGGTACGTTTTTTTTTGTGGGTGGCGGCATTTCAGAGATTTCAAGGTCATCTTGATTTTTTTTAACGGAATCACCAGTTTTTTGTATCATAGATCCATAGAGTATATTTACTATCTCAATACAGCGATTTCAATACAGTGATTACTTTGTAAAAAATACTTCGGCGACTCATTTGGCAAAGGGTTAATATTCTCTGTTAAATATATATATATATATGATGCTGACAAATATCAGCGAATGCACCGAGAGATTTGTTTGCATGTTAATTGTACGATGTAATTACCAGAATCGCTGACATACCTATATGTATTTCATTCGAGTTATGAAATTTTACCGTACAGAGTCCAATTTCACAGTGGTTTCGTTCTTTCGTCATTCAGCCTGGGAATCAGGTTTAATCAGAATTCCATTGTCTCTTAAACTTTCCTGTTTTCCCTGCTACTTACCTTTACTCTTGTTCTCGTTTCCCTATTATTCCCTACAAATCCCCACTTTTGGTACTCGATCTCCCCTTCAGCTTCGCGGTTTCTTTTGTTCGAGCCGCGTCAATTTCATTTCATCTCGTTCCCCTTAAATAATCCGTCTTTCTCTTTCTCAAGAATTTTCCCAATAATTCTGTTACTCTCTTTTTTCACCTCGAAACATTCCACCTTCCCAATTCCGTTCCTCGTTCCCTGAAAATTTCCACTTCATCCTCGATTAAAGTTACGACACGACGAATCGTCGATTAAGAATATGCATACACGGTCGATAATAAAATCTGCACACAATCGTTCGACTATTTCAATAGATGTTTCGTTGAAGAAACCGACCCGTACGTATGGATAATCGTAAATATGGAACCGAAAGGATCAAAGGGAAAGTTTCTCCGACGTGTAAAAGCAAAGGATCACGTGGATCGAGCACAGGTGAATCTGAATCTCCCAGGACTCGTAACAATCGCGGTACCGATTTTGGGTGAAACGATTTTTATATATAGTTTACAGAAACAACTGCCTTGGCGTACAAAAGTAACAATTAATTACAACTCGATCAGAGATATGCAACAATAACGATCCGTGAAACACTTAAAGTACATTTTACACCGTGGGTGATCACAATAACAAGATTTTACATTTTCAAGGATTCGATGACTACAATCCTCCTTTCATAGTTTCCCTTGGTCGCGATCTAGTTGTTCTTGTTGAACCCATACGTGTTCCATTCTGAAAAACAAAGAAGGAAGATCAGTGAGTAATAATCTTACGCAAATATAGACTTTTTATTGACTAACTCACTGAAACTGGTACCAAAACGAGTTCCGTTTATACCCTGTAAGGGACCTACCAGTCTTCGAATAGAGGAGCAAAACCTCGTCAGACTTTATTAAACAGTACACACTTTCGGTAATCGTTGATGTTATAAATGCATAAAATCCATAGTCGGGTAATTGTAATACTTCATTAGCTATCCAGAGACTGATTCGATTAAATTCGATGAAACATTTGGGGAGAAACAAAATAAATATGGATGGATCGAGTACAGTTTTGGTCCAAAAAGCAATTTTTGTCCCTTCCATAAAGCAACATTATCTTAAAATCGACAACTGATCCCCACCTTTAATTTTATCCTCGTATTTAAGCAGCGTCGGGTACCAATCGGCGCCGGTGTAATTGATTTCCGGCAGATCGCCGCTATAGTTCTTCGGCAAATGGCTCGACGGGATGTGCGTATGAAGGGACGACATTTTGTGCCCGTGGAAGAACATACGCTTCTTCAGCTTCTCCTTCACGAACGGTTTGAACATCGTCCAGACCATGTTGAACAGGAACGGTTGCTTCACGATGTGAACCTGGAGACAATCCAGTGGTCGTCAAATCCCTCAAAATTTCTAATGAACCCTCTTAACTATGACCCACTGGTCTCAGAAACAAATTTAAATTTTTCTTCCGCTATCGCCACCTAGAGTTTAACATCGTTTATGTGTGATCATTTCAACGTATAGTAAAACCCTCAATAGATTAACTTTTGTCCACTTCTGATTTTAATATGTACATTACTAATGTGTCTAATATTAATAATACTATAGTACCAGATGATTAATTTAATTCTGTTTTGAGATTATCGGATATATGGTTGGTCTTCCCTTTCGTCAGAAGCAACGAACGCATTTTTAATTTCATTACGAACCTCTTTGAGACGCAGCGGCATGGCCTCCTGGATGAAGTGCAGGAGCTTCATGCTAAAAGATGGCGTCAAGCCCATCACTTGCTTCATGGTCAGCCCGTCGAAGTCCATTATCACAACGGTCCCGTATATCTACGAGAAGCAAAAGTGTCGCTAGAGACTTCAATCGTTATAGGACAAAAAATTAAAATGATCCAAACGAGAGGAACTAGAGGGAAAAGAACAGGATTTTCCTGGGATCTCACCGATTCACAGTACATACATTTCCATATGCAAATAGCAAGAAGACACGAGGCACTTCGTTTTTAACAAATTACGAAACGGAATTCTGCATCACAAAAACTTTCCATGTTTACATACATCTCTCCGCTGAATAATCAAGGGGATCCGACAAACCTAACAGGAATCGGTAAAGCATTGTTGCAAATTTGAATTTATTATTCGGTGTACCATTAATATTCACCGTCTAAACGTAATCATGAATTAGCCTTTGTAGACCGTCGATAAGAAACAACGATCGAGGCTGTGTTACTCGTGGAACCAAACGATTGCAGCGTTTGGTGTCTACGAAGCTCTTGGTCGCCACCTTGTATATTCTTTGAAGGACGTTAATGAAATCTACTACACTATCCGCCTAAATAAACATAGACGTAGCCAGGTTATGAAGTGGGTGGGGGCAAAATCCAATTTTTTCCGTCCAGGCAAATGCCCACCCTCTCCTGCACCCCCGACTACGCCCATGTAAGTGAATATCTAATTCTATCTAAAAACGTCGTTTAGCTCGTTCGTCGTTTGAATCATTCCCGAATGTTCTCACCTGCGTCTCCGGCTCCAACATGGCGACGTCGTGGATCAAATAGAGCAATCGTAGTATCTGATCGGCGCTAACTTTGGACGGGTCCCAGGTCTTCCCGGGATTGACTTGCAACACCCTTCGACCCTTGTGGTCCCGTCCCTTCAGGACGTTCACGACGTTGTACTCGAGAAAAGCGACCTTTTCGTCCGTTGGCATCAGATTATCGAAGAGGCTGGCGTTCTTCTCCTTGAACTCGGCCACCCTCTTCATCAGCTCGTACGCGCTCTGTGCGTAAAACTTGCATGGTCGCAGAAAGATCATCAAAAACTCATCGTCTGTCTTGAAATATAGCGTCTTATCTTCTGAAATATCCAAATAATCGACATATTAAGATCTGATAAGCTTCTGCGATCGGGGTTTTTCGTTAATATCTCGTTAACAAAGCCTCGGATAACATTTTTGCTAAGAAAAAAGTTATTTCAAATCATCCCAGAAACCCCTTATTTCCGGGAGTCGAAACTATTTTGGGACACCCTGTATATACATACGTAATTATTTTCGACTGTTTCGTAACGCGAGGATGGTAATTTCCTTCCTGATTCGCCGGCTAATCCATGACATAATTAAGGATCGGTCGTTATCAGCGCCGAAACGAACGATTTTCATTTCACAAAATCGCGACAGCGACGGATGGCGAAGCTCTGTCCTCGCGTGCAATCCACGGAGGACTCCCCCACCCCTCCTTCCTTCCGTCTGGAAATTGCCTCTTGGTGATCCTCGTTAAGGAAATTGCAACGATCTCTATTTACCCGACGAAGTCAGGCATGGGACACAGTTTCGAGAAACGAACCGAATACCTTGAACGGAAACGACGAAAAAACGAACGAAGAAGAGAACCGAAAATGCAGTTGGGAATATCGAAATGGGTATACGAAATCCGGTTCTCGGAGATACAGTCCAATTAATTACATTTAATCTACAGTGATTCCTCGATGAATGCGACACGAGCAACGGCGTTATTCCCACCACTGGGGGCCCCCCTCTGGAATCAATCAAAACTGACTAAACAGAAGTTAAGTAGAGGCTTGGCTTCGGGTAAAGAACAAATTTATGAGAGGCTGAATACCTCTTCGCTTACTGTACATGTTATCATCGATGATTTCCTGTAAATGCATAGAATCCGCAGTCTAATTATAACGTTCAACGATCGAGAGACCTCTATCGCCTCCACATTTCTCCGTCCATCGCGAGTTTGTCGTGGCCCCGTGAACCGGAACCGGAAGGTGGGAGAGGTACGATTGAAAATTTCACGGAAGAGAAAGAGGATCGACGGCGAGCCAGCGGCGTGTTCTTTCTCCCCAGACCGTCTTTCTGATCGCTGAAACGCCCGCTATCGTCTGCACGCTATTCTGGTGTGTCATTATCAGACGAGCGATTTCTGCGGCCAGTGCAATAAGAATGTTATCTCGAGAGAGCGTGTGTATGGGGAGGAGGATTTCTATCCCGTTTGCAGCTCTCTTTGTCGCATTCGGAGGAGGGTCAAGGTCCGCCAACGTGGTGTTATCTCGCGCGTACTGATTCGGGATCGATCGGGCCTTATCGGGTTGATTATCGATCGTATCACGGAGGGAACGTTACTTGGTCACGGGTTGTTTACGCGGCTTTGAAAATTATATTTCGTCGAAATCCAGCAAACACCCGTGGAACACACGAGGCGTAACGGGGAACGAAAGAACCACAGACAAAGAGAGAAAGAAGAAGTAACTTAGGGCCCATTATAGCGGCGATAACCGTTATCGAACGAACCGGCGCGACCCCGAGAGAGAGAGTTTAGAACTCTGATGCACTTACCAATCGATTCGTATATAGATCGTGTCAACGTACTCGTCGAAACACGGAACAGTTTCGAACTTCATCGAACCATCGTTCCACCGATGTGTTCGTCTCTGGTCGATTCTACCACCAGGGGGTTGAAAACTGTTATAATATCGATTTAGGTTCTCGAAACGGTTATGACGAACCTTTTAGCCAGATTCATAGTATGTAACGATTGACCGAAGTGTTCGAACTTTCAATGAAAATTCACCAAGGTCTATTTACTTTCTTGTCGAATATTACAGATACGTTTTCCGTTCGACTGGAATGTTTGCGACATACAGTCGGACGAAATGTCACAGCTACGATTTGCATAAACATATCCGCGGTCTAGTTTAGCCAATGTGTTTCATTGTATTACGATTAATCGAGACACTCTACACACGATCGAGGAGTATGAAAAGCGATGGCTACGGAGGTGGCGGAAGGTAGTCAATCGTGGATATATCTCTTCGACAGTTTCTGTAATAAATAGACGGGTTCGTGGTTCAGTAACGGAATGACGGTACACACCGTCCGGGGTTACGTGGAAAATTCGAACGGTGTGTTATTAAAATTTGATTGCTCGCGCGCGCCTCAATGGTATGTGGTGCCGTTTCTCCAAGAATGCAATAACAGACAGAGCGAATTATAAAGAAAGGAATCCTTTTCGCTATCCATCACGCGCGATGGTCGATCGCCGGTTAAAAAACGTGTGATAAATTATCAAGAAAGTGTTCCCCATTTTATCGGTCTGGAATAATTCGGTCCACACGAATGGGTCGTGTGCAACGAATACGATCATTTTCGACAATTTTCAGGATCGTCCGACGGTTTTTCATTAAAATCCCATCGGTTCGACGAGTTTCCACCTAATTTAAGACGATTCTGTACGCAGTGCGTGTCTCCGTATTTGTGAACACCTGAATCAATGGAACACCTCGGTGACTTGACACGTTCGCTACCAGACACATCGCATACCTGCGACGCTTCGATTTCTAAGCGAGCATTTTTCAATGAAAAAGAACGTTTTTTTGCAATAATTTGTCTTCATTCTATGTTATTCGTTATCTCTGTTTTACGAAAGAAATGACTGACTACGAAAGACGTACATACACCAACGTTTGTTAAGTCTTTTTTGTTTCTTTCGATGAGTGTACTACCAAATGATCCTTAATTTTCACAGCAATCGCCCGAAACACACAAAAACATTTCATCAGTAGAGAATGATCGAAACCTAAAACAAATACGGCGGGTAACGAACACATTAAATATATATGTCTAACCGAAAAAACATCTTCTGCGAAGTCATAGACACCGATTCGAAACATTGCACAAAGAATCTCTGTACTTCGATTAAAACTAGCCCAACCGTTGTTCGGTGATAAACCCTCGACCATAAGTCGTATCGCCAGACACAAAAGAATCGTCGAAAGGAAAAAAAAACTAGAACGGTTATAACTAGACTGCAGATTTTACGCAATAATGGGGTTCTGTGAAATCTAGTAAAAGACAATATTTTCATTCGATCCAACGAGTTCTCTATTTTATTCCGAACTCAATGAGATACTTAAGGCCAGAAAGAAATTCCTACACTTGTTGCTGTTGTTATAAATTACTTTAGAAAATTGTCATTTTACAGAATGATCTGCTGTCTAAGTACAATATAGTTACAGAGAAGAATCCATGCATCTCTGAAACTCACCCTCGAGGTATTTCTTCAGGGCCTGGATCCCATCTCGTACGTTCTCCTCCGTCTCCCGTAGCTCCTTCAGGGCCACGGCCTGGGCTTCCGGTCCCGGTGGCTCCACTTCGAGCTCGAACGACATCGTGTTCGTTTGTTTTCGTTTTTTCTCCTCGTAGAGATGCCGATGATTCCCCGTCGCGTTCACGCCAGCAAAACGATCCTCCCGTCAGGACGCTCACGATATATCTGCGGGCCGATATATCTCGCACGGCGGAGAAGGAGGCCTCCTCTTGTCCACCATCTCGGATCCAATCTTTGACCGCTCAAAGTCCAGCACCGTCGCGTCCGGCATGGCGGCGATCGACGGCGTCGCTTGGCTCCGTCGTCGACGACGCCAGATTTCGTGCCGTTAGTGGAAACCGAATGTACGGAACAACGGGGCGAGCTAGCGAGCGTGTATGTCGCACGCGTCACCTGATAAAGAAGAGACGGGGACAGAGATAGAAAGAGAGACACGCACACACTTCGATCCAGTTGTACGCCCGAAGATTGATAAGCACCGATCGTGGCACACCACCGCTTGGGATCTTCTTGATTCTCGACAAACAAACACACAACACGGCTTCCCAACACCCCTGCCCGAAATCGGTCACCATATTCAAGATGGCGGTCTCTGTTTTACGCCCGGTGAATGACAGACAGGTGAGGGGCATTCTCTTGGACGTGGGGCTGCTGCTGTCTTGTGTTGCGAGGGAACTTTTACAAATATTCGAGTAATTCGAATATTCGAAGTAATCGAATTTCCATGATACGCCATTATAGTTTACATTTAAATGGTGATATACTACCTGCGAAGAAATCAATGTTATCAACGTATAGACTAGTGCATTTTATTATTCGATTAATTGTGTCAAGAGATTCGTATCTAAACTTTTAACATCGAGATAGGAAAAGTCGCCTCTTTCTAACGCATCCAACTGGTGCACATAAATCTGTAAGTTCTAATACTGCTGGACAATTAATTTCGGCATTAATGATTTTAAAAAGAAAATATATATCGGTTACGATTCTACATGTAGCCAGAGTTTTCATGTGCGTTTTTATAAGAGCAGATGTATAATCGTGATCCCAAAAAGATTTTGTTCTTTGAGCTTTGTCCCAAGTAAAAATTCTTTTCACAGTGTTCTTTACAATTATTTGTTGTTCAAAGTACTATTCGGTACAATTCAAAATTTGATCGCTTCTATTATTCGAATATCAGAAGCATCAGGAAATGTATCATCTTTCCTCGTGTCCGGGTTCTTTCGGGGTGCAGATGACTTTTCTTTCAGTGTATTAGTATGGATATCCCAGGTTGGGGATATTTAGTAACAGGTCTAACAAATTCTTCACTTAGTATTTTGTAGACTTTCTTTAGCGATTTAATAAAATTGTTATTACCTATTTACGGATTATTGTGAACGACTATTTACACGTTGGATTGTTTAACGATCAAAATAAAACGATTCCCGAACAATTCCTCGGATCCAATCCTCTCCTAACTTTCCACATTACTCTTAAGACTTCGTTCACAGGTCACGTGACACGTTCGTTTCGGTCCCGATCCGTAAGGTCCTTCCCCTTTTTGTGTATGTATGATATTTTAAAGGTCGACTATAGAAACATGGTGAATAGGCGTAACAACGCCATGGTCCTTTTTTCGTGTAAATTTATCGAGGATTACGTAAAGTAATGAGGGTTAAAGATTACCACAAACGGTTACGGGTCTCGAGTCGTTCTACTCCTATCTTTGAATGAGACTCGGTTGTATAAATATCGGTCTGACAGTTTTTTTTTTTCTACTCCTCATCCGCTATTCGTGGTACACGGTAACAATTACCGTTGATGAATTGGTAGTTAGAATGGAGAGCGTGATGGTACGTGGATGACACGGAAACCGTCGTCGAAGAGACACATCTTCAATCCAGTTACCTGTAGAAATATTCCGATGTATTGTTCAAGGTATGTTTTTATCGTGATATAATTCACATGATTACTACACGTCAGAGTAATCCTTTGTTTTTCGTGTTCCATCTCGAATCACAATACGATATACTCGTTCCCGTCCCCCATAAGGACGTTTCGCCGTTGCTGAAGTTAAATTAAATTGCAACGTGATTATATGTCGACGCGATAGCATTAATCACCTCGATAATATCAGTGTCAATGTTTTTCTTTATATCGTTCTTGGCCGTTAATAAGTCCGAACGAAATACAATTCTATTGTTCGAACACTGCGATGAAAGTGGATTTACATATCGCGTATTATAATAGCGAAGCATTTCGGTCGGATGAAAAATCTCGACACGGTGTGAAAGCTTTCGGGATCGGTAAGAGAAAGGTAAAAGCGGTCAAAATAGAAAAATCTTTAAATTACCTTCAGGATTAATAAACAATTCCTTATCGAACAGAGATAAATGTATTGAAACACACGTTACATAATTATTCGTTATCTATTGAATGATAATAAAAATGATAAACATTTTTTTTTTTCAATTTATTCGAAGATCTTATCGTCGATTTGTTAACGAAGATAATATTGCAATTTTGTTTTTTTAGAAACCCTCGATTATCGCGGAATGATTCCTTCTGAATCGTTTATATTAAATGGCCACGTAACGCGGCTTTTCATGCCAGATAGACGCACGATTAAAGTTCAATATACATGTTTCCTCTGACTCAGTTCTGGTTGCTTGACAAATCCTTCGATAAACACGAACGGGAAACGGCTACAATGTGTTACGCCAACGACGCGAAAAAAGCTGGCGTTGCAATTGCACGCTTCAACTTTGAAGAATGCAGCGATCGTGCGAGCAAATATTTGCGCAACGCCATTTTCGCATAAAAATGGAACATACCATCGTTGTGATCCTGTGTCAGCGATGAAAATTAGATTTGCATATAGAAAACCGAAACGATTTACAATTGACGCTATTGTTCACTACTTGCAGTTGTTTTTTTTTTACATCGATGTCTTTGTAAAATGTCCGCGACACTTGGCCGTTACATTTGCAAAGTATCATGTCCGGTAATATTAATCGTTGATTCAATTTGTATGGCAGACCATTTTTTTCATTCAGAATACTGAAAACAGCAAGATAACCGTCAATCTATCGTATTCGTTGAAAAATCCAAAGAACGAACGTACTCGTTTCAAGAGGATGCCTAATTTATATTCAGACGGGTTACAAAATTTTGCTTTCAGTTCAGAAAGCACATAAATCATGAAAATCGTTAAAGGTTCCGTTCTCGTAGCCGACGTCTCGTGAATGGTCCATGTATAGTTTTCGTTCCTCGATTTGAATGATAATTTTTACCAATTTTTCTTCGTCAACTAAAAACGTCCAATAATAAATGAACGTAGTACTGAAACAATTAATGAACGTTTAGAAAGAGGAATGGATAAATTACAATATTTTATAAATCTGAATAACATTTAAGCCCTGTTTTACTGAATTTATACACATATTGTTATAAATATATTGTAAAATCGTATATATACAAAATTTGGGAATTTCTGGGACATTTTGTGGCGCCCCCACCACTTTGGTGGGAGAAGGTGGAACTAATCCCAGAACTTCTTCGATAGTTCGCAAAGACGCCACCAGATGGCGCTATTATGCTGATTTTGCAGTTTCCCGCGCTTTTTTTAAAGGTATAAAATTTATTATTTTGCTATTATTTATTATTTCTCATTATTTTTCTGGTAAATTGAAGTTGGGAATAGAAGTGGAGATAGGGAATGGGATTAATGAATAACGTATTTGACTATTTTGTATTGAAAAAATTGTAAAAAGATATACAATTTAGAAAATTGTATTGTTATATTACAATTAATGGTAATATAAGACAAAGGGAAGTTTAATTCGTGTACACTACCGAACCATTTTGTATATGTATGTACGTACATTAAATATGTTATTTCTTCATTGTCGATCTTTTTATCTCGTACACTTCACTAGAAGGCGTCTTGATATCACGACCATATCGACAATCGAGAACACTCATTTTACGTAATGTTGACGAAGACATTCGCAGATGTCACCACCTGATTGATGCCGAAACAGAACACGATATGTAAAGTGGAAAATACACAACAAATCTATAAAAACTTATACATGCTTTTCTCAAGTCCATCAATGCTCCTTCGTCAATCCAGCATTACTGGTTGTGGCGACAGAAATTTGTAAACCCAGAGCAATTTCGTCATTTCGATACGATCCACAAGCTATATGTATGTAAGTTGCGGGAATGGCGCAAATTTTTAGCCCTCTGTCGGTAGTACCGCCGAAGCAAATCCGTATACACATATGTGTGTGTACTATGCCAAGCATGTAATCCCTGTTAAATTCCATAAAATTGTATGCGTCGCGCGTACGAGAAGGACAGAACAGACAGAAAGAACAGGGGAACAGAGAAGGAGTTAGATTTCGAGTCACTGCGACATTTGTTTTTCCCGTGTGGTCGCCGCGTACGCGGTGTTTTATCTACGTATTTTTTGGTGTCGTTCGTTCCTTTTTTCGGCGTCCAAGTCGATTAAAAGGAGCCAGTGGAAGGGCGCTGCGGCCCGAATTTCTTTTGCGAATGTGCAGTTTTTCCCCGTACAGTCAACGAGTTTCATTAGCTACACGATGCCCGAAGAGGAACTTCTCAAGTCCCCGATCGACGGTATTTTGCCGTTTTTACAAAGCGTGAGTGTTGAGTTTTTCATTTTTCCACCCCTTGACACAATCGACGTGTTCTTCTTCGTCTGTTACACCGCAACGATCGTCTTCCTGCGTAACGTAAATTATCAAATTCGATTAGCCCAGATACGACATGACGTATCTTCCCCTTTGCCGCTTTCGCCTTTTTTTTTTTACACGTAGCCGGCAGAAAAGTGTCGATGCAGAAGAACTAGCGCACATGTCAAATTTTATCACCCAGTCGCCGCTTATCAGCGATACAGGTCCCGTGATATGACGTTTCTGTGTATTCCCCTGAAGAATAAGAGAGACGTGTTAAAGAAGAAATGATGGGTATTTTAATGTCGAATCTATTTCTGTTGCTTATATCATTGGACCCCGCGTTTCACTCTTCCCCCTACCGCTTTTTTTTTATTTCATTTTATTTCTCTGGATGTCCATCGGACCTTCACTTTCCCGTTGCAGGTTTTATGGCCGGTGTTTTTCGTTGAGTATGATTCGACAATATCCTAAATGTTTCGACCGTCAACGTCACGGCGCATTATACGCTATTAAATGCATTAATTATTTGTCATTATGGAAATGCACTCTTTAATATGTATTCTTCTTGAATAAAATTTCTGTGCCACAATAGCCTTAGGCAGTATTCTTGTTTTCTCCTTCATTATGTAATAGTCAGGACTCAAGTACATGGATTAAATTACAAATTATTGCAGATCGAATGGAGAGATCCGTGGCTGGCTCTGTTACTGACTTTCCATGTTGCTGTGACAATGACTGCATTAATGACACGAAATCATGCCAACTTTCAAATAATGTTGTTCCTCGCTCTGTGTAAGTTTCTGTTTCAAGATTGAAGTATTACTTATTCTGTATAATCATCTTATGTATGTATTCCAGTACTTTTGGTATATTTCTCTGAGAGCATCAATGAAATGGCTGCATCTAATTGGATGTAAGTACTTGTACAATGATTAAAATCCAATACAATTATTATACTGTATTGATAATACAACAGTAACATCTACACAAAAAATGTTTAATAGGTTGTTCTCGAGACAACAGTATTTTGATTCAAATGGACTCTTCATATCTGTAGTATTCTCTGTGCCTATCTTGATGAACTGTATGATAATGATTGTAAGTACATAACAGATAAACCTGTATGTATTGCAGTGATACGAGCGGTAATAAGTGTCTATTTATATTATATTTGCAGGCTAGTTGGCTATATCAATCCAGTCAATTAATGACCAGTTTAAAGAGAGCTCAATTAAGGCAACAAGCAAGAAACCGGCAAATAGAAGATGAGTCGTCAAACATAAATGGTAATGTTATAAGGGAAAAGCAGGAATAGTCTTTCTAGTCAGATGATAAGAAGTGTAAAAAGGAAAAGCAAGATTGTACATTATTGAAAAACAAACAAAGTTTGTTTGTTATCCACAATTGGAATGGTATACTATTGCATTATGGGATCTGGCAAATGTTATTCGACAAAGATAATAGCATTTTCTAAAAAGCTACTGCCGACTTAGTCAAAGCTCTTATTCATATTGAACTTGACTAGATAAACTGTCGGTAAACCGTACTTCGAATTCTCATACCATATATGTATGATGTAATTAGTTAGAACACAGGTATGAAAATTTAAGGGTAACGTATTCCGTAATTAATTGAATACCCAAGTGTGAAAGCTATGTACGCAGTTTGAGAACTATGATAAATTATGCGACCTCTAAAAGGATATTATCTTATATTAAGGTACATTCCGACAGTTCTTCGTTTTTATTTTGACATTCTAATATGCGTTACGACTCGACGTGTTTTTGACACATTACCAGTGTACTTACTACTGTAGTACATATTGCTTCTTATAAATGTGAATAAAAGAAAAACAACACGGCATAATTAGATAATTATGGCTCTAGGTACATATGTAAGTGTATGCATGGAAGCGTGAATGAGTACACATTTTCCAGATATAAAAAACGCGATTTCGATAGCTAAGTATTGCACGTATGTTTTTAATCAGTCAAGCATCCTTGTGTTGTATATTTGTGTAAATTGAACAACAATTTCTTGCCGTTGTTATATTTAATGCGTGACTAACCAGTTTAAATAAAATATTTCTTCTTACAATTTCTTAAGTTTCTCGACTTACAATGCAAACTAAATGATCATTGGAATCCCACTGAAATTTTCATTTTCGATATATCGAAATCTCTCCATGAAAGATAAATTATTTATTTTTTTTACTATTATTAATATTTTATTTTGAAAACTACATATTTAAGTTTGGCGGTTAAAAATCTGAACAGAATATATATAGCTACATTCCTTACAATTACTTGTACAAAATACATATTTTCAAACATAGTCTTTTTTTATATACCTCGTCCGCGATGGTACGAACAGATTCTTGCGACTTACAGCTAGCTATGTAGTAACAAAAGAGAGAAGGTGTGAGATGCACACCCACCCACCGCGATGGCTCGCAAGAGACTCGAACTACATCGTATGTAACTTCTTTTCGACTGCTGCGCGGTTTCGTGTAGAGAGTGGGGATGATGAATTCCGGAAGGTCAACCATTACAGGTATTGGGCGTAGGTAATTGTACTATCTGGTTTCCTTCTTAGGCCGAGTTGAATTATTTTTGTCGGTTAAACTTCCCTCGAAGGTCCCAAACTCTCGGTACTGCTATGACATTGTACGCAAAGCCAGGTCAATTACCTGAATGTGAAAAGCACAGGGGATTGGGTGGCCCAGGGTGGCCTACAAAAAACAAACTGCATTTACGAAACAACTCGTTCGAAAATAAAGGAAAATGACCCACTATTTAGTCGGCTAGCTCAACAGACATACAAATAAAGAACTGTCTGGGAGAGAATTTGCATCAATTCGCATATTTAAAAACAAATGGGATTTCTAAGTGAAAAAGGGAAACTCATCAGAAAATACTAATGACGCCATCCATGGCAAAACGCTCAAGCTACTTGCCAATTAGTAAACAACTTTTCTAGCTAGATGGCAGCGTTGGAGACCTAAAAAAACCTGTAATTGTAACAAACATTATTTAAACCCAGACTGTATTATATTAACAGCTCTTCATTAACATTCCGTAGAATTCGAAGAACTATTTTGATTCACAAATAAATATTCTTTGATGGTTTTCTGTTTGTGTATTTACCTTAGTTAGTATTAATAATCTGTGAGAAAAAGTACTTCAAATTCAACACATATATAGGTACACGTTTCTTAAAAAGGCATTTGGTAGAAAGTCTGTATTGATCTGTATCATTGATATAAGTTACGCACTTTAATGTGGTTTAAGTGAATTTTTTTAAGTTGTTATAACGCGACAGTTTTGTGACGGAAGACGTAGTGTTGGCATGTTTACAACAAAGTAGCCTGTCAGATCACGTATACAATGGTTGTTTGCAAATATTATCGGCAAGGCAATTGCCGCTTTGGACAGTATTGTCAATTCGAACATATAAATACATTTGGTAAGAACAAATTCGAATCGTGTACTTGTTGATGGTAAATTTTTCTTTGACATTACCTCGTTCATTTCATAGGAAGTACTCCGAAAGTTGACTCTTATAATCAGGATGAATTTACGGCGTACGTATTACTAAAGTATAATATATCTTAATCTAACATTAATGTATCAATCTCCAAACTTTACATTAAATTCAGAAGTATTTCATTAATCTTTTTATCACTGAAATAAGGGTGGCAGTTGCAAAGGAAGTACTCTGTGCCGAGAGGGGAGGCCAATGGCTTTTATCGTGCTTTGCACCCCTCAAACAGAAACCACCTATTCCTGGTATGGAAGATTTATCTCCAGAAGAAGTAAGATGGGAGATGTATCAGGCACAAAAGAATGGGATGGTGGAACAGGCAGTATATATATGCATCCATAATTATTAATATATCTTTTTTTATACATACTACAAATATTTGTAAGTCATTTGGTTCTTAATCTTTTGCAGAAACTACGTTTTCAACAACTGTGTCAAGATATAAAGGCAAAAAGAGATGCATTGAAGAATCCTACTCGTGAGACAATTGAGATGCTTGTAAGTGAACCTACAAACTTTCAATGTGCTTCATTAAATAGTAATAATGAACTGAATAAATTCTTACTGCAAAATGCTTCTTTTTAGAAAGAGCTCCAGGGAACAGGTCAGAAAAGTAAGTTAACCACAAGTGGAAGTATAATTAGAGTCTTCAAATTTTTCACTCGTAACTCTTCAAACAGGTCTTCCTGGAAGTACACCAACTTCTAATGTATTCGGGAATAAAACATTTGGAAGTCAAAGCAGCCCCTTCAGTGGAGGTTTCACTCCTATTAGTAGTACATCAATATTTGGAAGGACCACTACATCCAATCCTGTATTTGGTGGGACTCCTAATTTTGGTAGTGGATTGGGCTTTGGTAGTGGAACCAGCACTAACTCTGTCTTTGGTGGAACTACAAGTACTACTACTACATTCAATACAGGACAAACTGCACAGGCTTTTGGGAATACTAGTTCTATTTTTGGGGCAGGAGCATCCCAGTCTGTTTTTGTACAGCCCAGCGTGTTTGGAGCATCTAGTTTAGTCAACAACGCATTCGCTAGGCCTCAAACGTCGCAAGCAGCGACACCAGGATTCAGTGGAGTGACCTCCGCCCCATCCTTATTTAGCATTTCTACTTCTCAATCTAGTTCTTCCATGTTTGGGGGAGCTAAAACGTCTACGGCCAATCTATTTGGTAGTTCCGCGACTTTACAGACTACTAACTCAGTGTTCGGAACAACAGCTCCATCTGGGGCATTCAGTTCTGGTATGTTTTCTCAGTCGAAGCCTGCATTTGGAGGAGCACCCGTTTTCGGTAGCGCAGCAAATTTTGGAAATGCAAATGGACCTATGTATGGTGAACAACCGGCATTTGGTGCCTCTAACATTTTCGGCGGAAGCAATACTAACGCCCCGACTTTTAGTTCGGCTGCTCAATCTACAAATACTTTCGGAGCTACCGCGTCTACGTCGTCTGCTGTAAACTTATTTGGAAATATTCAGACTACACCTGCTATCTCTACGTCTAATGCAGCTCCGTTCGGTACAGCCACTCCCACAACCAGTAGTCCTTTTGCTTCTGGAACATCACAGTTTGAAGCTAACAGTTCAACCGCTAGTCCTTTCTCAAGGACCACGTTTGGCATAACCACCTCTGCCAATGAAACTGTTGGTACTACGGTTACATCATCCACCATACCATTTGGTATCACAAATACTGGACTCGGCTTTGGAACCTCTAGCACTACGACCTCTACATTTGGTGAGGTGAAAAATTCACCTTTTGCTACCACCAATACTACAGCCACGACTACAACTACCAATCCATTCGCACTAAGGACACAGCAGATCACTTCACCGTTCGGTAATTTTACACAAAGTCAATTGGCTAATACTACCACCGTGTCCACCAGCGGACCATTTGGTAAATCTCCATTTAGCGTCACTATGACCGTCGCTGTCGTCGATGACAGCGTTTACTCGGCAGTAGATCAATTGACTGACGACGAGAAGAGCATGTATATGGCAGAGAAGTTTGCCTTCGGTAAAATTCCGTTGAAACCACCTCCCAAAGACATGAGATAACAGAATGCGTGAATGCTTCGATGGAATGTTTACGCGCTGTGATATTGATTTCCTATACAACTGCGATTAAGATATATCTCGCAGGATTATAGTGATAAAAATAATATATTTGGTGTTAGTATGTCTCGTTTTGATAGAACCCAATGACATGTTCCGTTTATGATCGTTTTAAATTGTAACGAAATAAATTAGATAGTAAAATTAATTAGATTCCTATAGTGAATTCCAACTGACTCATAATGTGAGACACAATTAAATAAATAGTGAATATCTATGTATATATAAATCAATCTGTTTTAATTTAATCAATTACACAGTTATTTACATATGTACAATTGTCAATAACTCACTCCTCATTCGTACTTACTTTATCATACATTCTTGTAATGTATTACTCCAGGAGGAGGTGGAGGTGGCGGTGGAGGAACGCCATTGCCAAATTGGCTTCCTTCCGACACCTGAAAACGATATTTGTATTTCTTGACCGTTCATTGAAGGGTATCTTTTCCATGAAACAAACCTGTGGTAAATGGCAGAGAGGGTTCGTTGAATAATTGGTTCTTTGTGCGTAAGCTGTGGTCTGATTCGGCGGTTGTGTAAGACCAGTAGGTATACCGTTTGATGGTTTGTATCCTGTGATCTGGCAAACAAGTTAAACGGTTATCCTGTATTACCTAACAAGCATTACTCTCAACCCTTTGTACTTTTTATTTGTTTAATCCAACAGGTTAATATTTGTACAAGTACAGAGGGTTACTGGAATCAGTAGATCCACGTACTTTGTCATTCATCTCAGGAAATATAGTACTCAAGTTGAAATTGGTGAGACTGGTGCCCGAGGGATGATGACTCATGGCCATTGGATTACTGGACACAATTCCTCCCCTTGGCATATTTGGATTCATCGAAAACCCAGCTGTTGCCACGGTCGGTACACCTTGCGAACCAGCTACCGATGGTGGTGGTGGTGGTGGTGGTAAACTATTAACAGCTTTTGTGTAAACGTTTGCTTGTGGATGATTCTGGTAAAGGGGGCTAGCGTGTGGTGGTGGTGGCGGTGGCAAGAAAGTGGCAGAGTGATGATAATCTTCCAGGGGTGAATTAATGCCAGAAAGTGGAAACTCCAAGTTCTGCATTGTCCCACCGTCCGGACCTTTTCTCTTCGCTTTCTTCGTTGCGTTCGTAGAGTAGGTCCTTTTGTCGCAGTTCTGATGCTTTGCATAGTGCTGGTGATTCTTCGTGTTAGTATTTACATTGGAAGTTGAGGTCGTTACTGTAGACGTGGACGACGAAGTGGCCGTCGAGGAAGTCGCGACATTCGATAGAAGAAAAGCGTTTGCTTCCATATAATCAGCATTATCGTGTAATGGCATCATGTAGCTGGTAGGTGTGTTCGATATGCTGGTTATGAAGTTCGAAGTTGGATAGATGTTTGTATTCGAAGAGTATGTGTACGAGTTAAAGTTCTGATTGACCATTTGACCGTACCCACTTCCATCGTCGGTGTTCGAGAAATAATTGATGGGCATCACTGTATCCGCCGTCGGCAGACTGGTTTGGAATTTGTTCTGAGGATAATTAGTGGTGAACTTTATAGAGGCATGTTTGTCCTGAGTTGCGTCATGGACACTATTGTTAGTTCCTATTAATGCCTCCGCCGTGTAATTACTCTTGCAGTTTCTGTTTCTCCAGTGAACATTATTCTGTTGATATTTCTGTTGTTGCTGTTGTTGATGTTGTTGGTACCCCTGTTCTGTGAAGCTGTGGCCAGCTGGTTTCTGTTCATCGTGCCTCGGATGCAACTGCTCATTGGACGACGTTTGTTTCCGAATATCCATTTGCCGCTTACTGTTTCCTCTGGGACTAGTGTTGTTTTTCCTTTGATTTTTTCTGGCCTGTTGTTGCTGTTGCTGTTGTTGTTGTTGATGGTGGTGGTGGTGGTGGTGCTGTGGCTGTTGCTGTTGTTGTTGATGAGTATGATGGTGATGATGATGATGCTGGTGTTGCTGATGATGTTGCTGGTGCGATTTCTCTGCCTTCTCGTGTTCCACCAATTGGCTCACAGAGAGAAATGACGGACCGACCCCCGAGTGCTGTACAGTCTGACTATTCAGTACAGAATGGAAATCACGTCCGGTAACATTACCTTCTTTATCTTTGGCGAGGTCTTTGTTTTGGTCGGACGGAACCACCCTGGATGATACCTGACCGAACAAGAAATTCTGTTTCTCCGGTAGATTCGTGCCCAGGTCCAGATCACCGACCAGCGTTGGAAGACTGGAGGAGACAATGTGTTGATCGATCCCCTTTACCGATTGTGTTTGCTCAGCGTGAACAACACTGGTCTTCGTGGGGGACCACGGGAACGGTTGCTCCTCGGAATAAAACACGTCTGTGGTTCTCTTTGGTTCGGTTTGCAGGACCGGTAAATTCGGGAAACTGTGAGCAGCCACGTCGTAATTATTATAAAATTGATTGGTCGTTCCCTGATTGTACGACGGGGTTTGAGCGAACAGATTGTTCTGACAGAAATCAAGCTCCTTTCCGATAGGCGGAAGTATGATGTCGGCGATGTTCGCGTTATGCTTGATCTCCGGTGTCATCATCCAGTTCACAGGCGCTCTGATCGCCTGCTGTTGCTGGTTCGTCTTTGACTTCGTCGTGTTCGGCTGTTGTTGCCCGTGCTTTCCGTTGTTGTTGCTATACGAAACGCTGTCGTGCTGAAGAGAAGCGACTTGTCCCTGGATCAACGGCTGATACTTATTCTGATTCTGTTGCTGCGACTTGTCCGGATATTTGAAATTCGCACCAGTATAATCGACGGTGTATTTCATCTGCGTGGTAACTTCAGGCAATTCGAAGCTCACCTGAGAATCGTAAGTGGACATCGGATATACAGCTTTTTCCTGTTTCTGGTTTATAGACTGATGATTCTTCGGCCCGTGTTGTTGCTGTTGCGACTGCTGCTCCAGCCCGGTATACTCATTCTGAATGTACTCGGACTCGATTCCGTACTTGGATTTGTTTTTATTCTCAGCGTTGTTGAACTTGTTGTAATCGTTAGCACCGGACGAGGTTGTTTGGCTTTGCATACGACTCTGCTTACCCGTAGACTGTGGAACACTCGACTGGATATTTCTCGTTTTGGACGGGTCAACGAAGGACCCCTGTTTCTGCGCGTCCATTCCGGATTTCATTCGCGACTTTTCAATATTACCGGCTACTGTTGAATTGCCCGAATAAACATCGTTGGTTAATACATTGGAGAAGCTCGAATTCTCCTTGTGCAGGGGAACGTAGTTGTAATTCTCGCAAATGGTTTTCACCTCTGTATTGTCGGTCTGATTTTGTCCTTGTTCGAACTGCACCAGATTGTTGCTACCGCCACCGCCGACAGGCGATAATGTGGTCCACGATAAAATACTGAAGTTCGAAGTATTATGAGCGACGGTGGTCGTTGATTTTGTATGATTGTCGGTGACGGTACTTTGCTCGTAGTTCGAGGTGGCAACGAACGACGTCGGCTGCTGTGAGTAACGTGAAACAGGGGTGTTTTGAATCAGCGGTTTGCTGCTCATACTATTCGAGGAACTGGTGCTGATCTTCTTCATATCCTTGGTAGAGAATGAACTGTAATTCTGTGTGTCCTCGCGCTTTCCTTGAAACATGTTCTCGGTGCTCTGATTCAAAACGCTCTGCTCGGACTGCGCATTCAGTGATTCCTTGACCCCGTACGAAAACGTTTGAGCGAACGGATCAACGTCGATCTTCTTCGAGGTGGTGTAATTCGTTTCACGCCTATGATCCTGAACCTCTTGCGGCTTCGACCTGAGAATATCATTCAACTTTGCGTCCTGATCTACAATATTATTTACCGTCGCGTCCGTGTCCTTCATCTTTGGATAATTTTGTTGGAAATGATTCTCGGACGAACTGGCCATGGTGTCCTTAGACGAATAGCTTTGATGTCTACCAGAAGCGTTGCTAGTTCCTGTCGAGTAAGTAATGGGATCTTTTCGTGATAGATTCTTATTCTGATCGACAGAGTACTCGTTATGGGTACTCTGCGGTGCGGTTAGAACGTGAGTATCTTTAGGTTGCGATGCGTAAACCGTTTGCATACCCTGGGAAGTAAGAATTGGAAGAGATGCGTCTTTGGATTGTATAGAATAATCTTGTTGCATATTCTGCGACGATGTAGGAAGAACTCTGTCAACATGACTGGTGTAGCTGAGCCTTGTGTTCGGAACAATGCTCGAGTCCACCAAAGTGTCCTTTCTATGAACTCCGTAAGTGCCACGGGAATTATGAGAATCCTTGTCCTTTAATTGGGATGTATAATCGATCTGCACGGTCTGTAAAGGTAACGACGGAGTATTTGTAGTTGTTGTCGTGTTTACCAACTGGGAAACCAAGGATGCCTGAGAGACATCAGACACTACGCTTTGTTCAAGTCCAACCGGATTCACTTCTGAAATGGTCCCGTTGCTGCAAACAGCTGAACCACCCTGTTGCAGACTAGTGAGACCGTTATCAACGACAGTTGAATAACTTGACAGAAAGTCTTGGGAGGTCGAATAACGAACGTTGGTGTCACAGGTCGAAGCCTGAACCGGACAGTTAGCCTGGTCGGTTTTATTCGAGGTGGATACAGCACCGATTTGGGAAGCAACAGTATTTTCACTGGAGGTAATAGTGTTCTGCAGGCTCCTTGCCAATTGATTTTGACAATTTCCACCCGTTTCAGTGTTGGTTCTGATTGTCTCGTTAGTCGACACGCTTGCAATAGTATACAATGTTGTGTGAGTGAATGAGTTAGAGGGGGCAGACTTTTCCAAGGAGGGTAACACACTTTGCACGATTTTGTAGGGCTCCCTAAGAGGTTCATCGTTCACAACCTTAGGCAAGGCTTTTGTGGTGGTATTGCACTCCACAGAAGTAATCATCTCTGCAGCTACAGTCTCGCTTGCAGGCGGACTTATATTCTTCTTCTCCTCGCAACTCACCTTTAAACGTTTTTCTGCAACTGAATGGGATGGCGATGACGTCTTTATCTTGAAACTATTTGGCTCCATGGTTCCAATTTGCAGCAACATGGGTGGAGTTTGACTATGATACTTAAAATCCTCTTTCATCTCCTCTTCGAGAACTTCAGTTTTACCATTCAAAGAGGATACCAATGGGAAAGCCATTAGAAATGCTGCTGTAGGCGATATGGATTCGGAATTGTGCGAGCTGGAAGGAACTTGAAGGGAAGCGAATATGTCATTGGACAGGTCAGAGTGAAGGCCGTCAGCTCTGTTAGCAATGGGCACAAAAGAATTTTCGGTGTTGTAGGAGAGTGACGCTTTTGGCGCTTCATCCTTGGATGCCTTTGATAATTTGGACTCATCCTCGACTACGTCAACTGGAAGCAATGACGATGATTCTGTTGCTGCATCTGGTGTCTGTACTGTTGCATTTGTTTCTGATTTCAACGTTGTCGTGGTGTTCGTATCGAGATTTAGAATAATCTTATTATTACTCTCCAGGTTCGTTGTTCCCTCGATGGTGTCTGAATCTTTACGTGTCACCTGTAAAAGATTGTCGAACTCTGTACCCAGGTTGCACATTTCTTTCACCTTTTTAGAGTTTACAGATTCTTGAACGGCCTCTTCGACTTCCGTCAGAGGCGACTTGGAGTTGGAGCTATCCACACTGTTTTCTGATTTCTCTAATGCATTGTCCACTGGAATATTGAATTCAGCATGCGGAGAAGCTGAAGCAACTTCATTACCAGATTTCAGATGCTCCTCTGCAAAAGCAACCGGCGATACTGTGCCTGATACTGATGAATCTTGCAGTTTTTTGGTTTCACACTGTACACTGTCAATTGACTTCGAAGAGTCAGAGTTGTCTTTATTAGGTGTGTACACTGAAATCGGGCAATCCACGTTGGTCTCAGTGGAGGATTCTTTGTCATTTGATTGAGGCGGAACATGACTCTTATCTTGACCTTCATTCGTGTCTTCACCTATCTTCTCTATCACATGCCTCAGACTTTCGATAGATTTACAAGTCACAGCAAAATCTGCTTTTGTCACAGGCACGGACTGCACCATAGCAATATTTTCAGTAGTTTCATTTGTCTTTTGTTTTTTGTCAGCTGGTTCATCGATCAATCCAACTTCCGTACTTGGTCGCTTGAGGGATCCTTTCTGAGGTGAATTGGAATCTTCTGTAGTTTTCCCGCTCTTCTCGCTTTCCATCTTCTCCTCCACTATTTCTAACGACTGCTGATTTTTTGCATTTTTTACGTGATTTTTATTTATTTTCGATTTAACTTCCTCTTTTTTGTTTTCCTTTAATTTTTCAGCTTTCTCTTTGTGAACGGCTGGAATAGGAACTTTGTACGTCATTGTTGTTTTCGTCACTTCTTTACCTTTGGGCAGGATGCCTTTGTGACCGCCGATTTTTGTCGCATTGATAATATTCTTCACGTTCGATGCCCAATTCTGCGAGTCTACCACCACGTTCGTGCGGATGCTGGGAACTGTATTCAAGGTCACCTTCTGTACTGTGTTAATTAAAGCCTGATTGCAGATAGAGACAACGGAGTTCTGTACGCGATTGGTCAGAGGCTGCATAACGAACATCTGATTTTGTTGCGTGTTGCTAAGGATTATGGGATTTGCTGGCTGCTGTTGAGCATTTACAATGATATTTGATGCCACAGGAGTTACCAAAGGCATTAATTTGCCCCCAGACAAGATGAGAGTGTTTGGAGTGAGATTAGTTACAGAATTATTTATGCACGGTGTTACAGGTTTTTTCCCATCCTTTTTCTTTACTTTTCTTTTCACTTTTTTTTGGGATTCAACTTTCTGCAATCCTGAAAGTCAATTATTAATTGCAATATCCGAAGCTACAACTTTGTTTAAGGTTTATTTATAATTACCATTATTTGTTTTACCATTTAACGGACCATTCTCTGGTACCTCAGAACCTAATTTAAAAAAATGGTAAATTAAATTTTTGTAGTGCACTTAAAGCAAGACTACAATTAAGATAAGTATACTTACTTGTATTTGTTTGACAACATTCAGATTCTTTTGATCCAGCTTCTGAGATATTTCCTGTGGCATTTGAAATGTCATCCTTACTGTTTGCACAATTTACTTGATTCTCCTGATTCTCAATCAAACTATTTGCATCTTTAGAAATATCATTATTTTCCACCAATTTTTTAGTAGATGACTGAGAAGAATTCACACATTTTCTCTTAGAAGGCACTTTAAGTTCTGTAGATTTTTCCCGTCTGTTCTCAGAACTTTTTACTGAAACCAAGCAGTTTTTGAATAGTTAAGAGCCCTGTAATGATCTTTCTTTGATAGATAATTTCTAGGCTTACTTTCTTCTATCTTGTCGAAGTACTTCTCTGCATCCTCTAGGTTAATTTTATTTGACCATTTTAATGGAGATATCTTTTCAAGAGCTGGTTCTGCAGGCACAGAGATTCCAGCCTCTCGTAACAGTGTTGATAACAACTGTGTACGAGAGAAGAGCTGAGTTACAAGTTTTTTGAGACGAGCCAATTCTTCCTCTGTGCGGAAATAAAAAATGGGATTAAAGAACATCAATCTGTGCGCAGTAGAATGTGTGATGGAGATCTCTATAACGGTCACTCGGAATCTCAACAACAGACTTCCTTACTGTGTGCTTCAGAAGCATGAGCGGAAAACAACTCGTCGCTACGACTATGGAGGTCTTTGATATACTTCGATGCGTGGATCAGGATGTCGACCTTGTTGCGTTTGCGACCCTCCTGATACGGCGGCAAAAGGTCTGCCAGGGTTTTGAAGTAAGCGTTCATACGTTTTCTTCTGTCTCGCTCCCATGTTTTCGCTTTGCTGAGAAGATATCCATGTTAATGTACGGTTCGTTATGATTTAAAGGGACGATCAAATATATTTTCATCTCGATCGCTCGAAACAAAAATGTTCGTAACGACAGGCGAGGTTAGCCAACGATCTGCTTAGACACTTACGTGTTCTCTTTTCGAGGCATAATTTATCCCCTTGGCATCGTTCCGCGTGAAGAATGCGCCGCGAGAAGCGCAAAGACGTCACTTATGACCGACATTACACAAACTCGAAAACCGACGTCGTAACTCTGACATTTCGATCCCTTCACAGCTCGATCGTTGAAATAAAAACTCTGTCGACGAAGCCGTGACAGTCGTTTAAACCTGCCCGCCATCTATTGATTTTGTTCCACGATTTTTTACAATGTTATTATCGATCCCCGATATCATAAAGAACGCGTGACCTTCTTTATGGATACATCGTAATAAACCAAAACCACTTGCAATATTAACCACAACATAGTTAAAGCCCAAGTTTAAAAGACATAGGCAGTAGTAAGTTTCTGTAGTAAGTTACAGACCCCGTGTGGTGAGATCGCGGGGTCATAGAGCCCCCGGTGGAGGCGTCAGGGACCCCGTGTGGTGAGAACGTGGGGTCATAGAGCCCCCGGTGTAGGCGCCAGTGACCCCTTGCGGTGAGACGTGGGGTCGCAGAACCCCCGCAGGTGGCGCCAGAGCCCCCGTGTGTTGAAATCGTGGGGTCACAGAACCCCCATAGGTGGCGCCAGAAACCCCGCGTGGTGAAAGCGTGGGGTCACAGAACCCCCACAGGTGGCGGCAGTGACTCCGTGTGGTGAGAGCGTGGGGTCATAGAACCCCCGGAGTATGCGCAAGAGTTTTGAAACGTAATCCTTTATCGTACTTTATCGATACCGCGGCTCGCTCGCTCCCGTTCGACCGCTTTACTATTGTAAATTGTGTATCTTCTTCGGAGTTTTTCAATAAAAAACAGTTAAGTGGTACATATGCGTTGTTTATTAAGCCTATCACTACAGCAATCCCTTACTTTCCGTAAATAAATAAATTGTAATTGGTAGACTTAGTTAAAATTGCTTTAGAAACAAATTTGAAGTTCAAAAAAGCGCGGGAAAACTGCGAAATTGCACATTTAATTTGAGCTGCCCATCACTGCATTATATGTACATCGATGATATAAAAAAGTCATCCCGGTAACTCTGCCGCTGATCTATATACATTAATACATCATGTAGGTTCGATCCACGTGTAGTAGCTGTTAGTTTATGTGTATACATGTTCGAATTTAAGAGATAATATATCATTTCTTATTTCTTACAAGACACGTGCGTTGTTATTGAAATAAGGGTTTATATAATAAAAGGAAGGAAAATGTTAACAACAAAGGTTTTCTTCCGGAAAACCAAAGGTGGCAACGTCTTTAAGGTAAACAGAGTCATTTGACAACTTTCTCCCTCCATGTTCAAGTAATCTATAAACTTAATGCAGTTAGTATTAAAAACAAGAGTACGTGGAACTTATTTATTTATTTTTTATTTAGACTGTTCGGGAGCACTATCTCAGAGATGATATTCACTGTGGCTCTAAAGCTTGTGACAAATGCTTGTACAGAAACAAAAATATTATTCTCGATGATGAGGATTCCAGTGTGAAATGTTCTAAGCTCTTGCATCCTTATTACCTTCTGTTGGATACTAACATTATTCTGGACCAAGTGAGTATAATATGCATTAAATTTTCATAACATTTTTCATTGCATTAGAATGTAGTAACATAAAATTTTATAATTATAGATAGACATTTTGGAAGAAGATGTTATCCACAATGTTATAATTTTGCAAACAGTGTTAGAGGAAGTGAAACATAGAAGCTCCACTGTATATAAAAAGTTGAAAGATATTATCAGCAACTCACGTAGAAGATTTTATATATTTGTTAATGAACATCATAAGTATGTAAGAAATAATATGCATTTAATATATGAAACTGATTTGTGATTAACTGTTTATCTAAGATTAAAATAAATTTATTATATCTTGTATGTTTATCACATAGGCAGACCTATATTGAACGTAAACCTGGTGAAAGCATGAATGACAGAAATGACAGAGCAATTCGGGTTGCAACAAAGTGGTACAACAATCATTTAAGTACCAGTGATTCTAATATTAGGACTGTGCTATTAACAGAGGATTCACGAAACAGAGAACTAGCAAAAAACGAAGGAATTCCAGCCTTATCGAGTGATTTTCTTTTCTTCATTTTCATAATTGCAGAAAGTAAACGTTACTTCAACTTATATTTACGTTATTTCCAGTGGAAGATTATGTGATGTCACTGGAAAATTCAAGCTTTTTGGCTGATAAATTATGTAAACGCACTTATGGAGCGGAAACTGGTGGTCAGGAATTTTTTCCATGTCATTGTACACCTGTCCAGTTGCACGATGGTATAAAAAATGGAAAATTCCTACAGGGAACCTTTGCAGCATCAAGAGAGAATTTTCTAGAGGGATACGTCAACGCGGAAGGAATGGAAAAATCCGTGCGTGTTTTATTGTATTCTATATTTCTTGGCTTGTCTAAATATGTATGTAATTATTATATATATTTGTTTCTAGATTCTTATTCAAGGTCGCAGCAACCTTAACAGAGCAGTTGATGGTGACACAGTTGCAATAGAACTGCTAGCAGAGGATCAGTGGTCATCCCCAAGTGATATTGTTCTCCAAGATGAGGTGGAAGCAGACGTAGATGATGTTTTAGAAACAGAAAAGGTATTAGACAAATTTGTTGCTTCGAACAAAATGCAAAAGACGCCCACTGGGAAGATTGTTGGTATTATTAGAAGAAACTGGAGACAGTACTGTGGGATACTTCAACCTAGTAATATTGAAGGGGTAAAGAATTTTGAAATTATCATAATTAGGCTAAGAATCCACTATACATATATTTGCATTTCATAACCTTATCCTCTTTTTTAACCAGAATGTAAGACATTTGTTCGTCCCAGCCGAACGAAAGATCCCTAAAATAAGAATTGAGACTAGGCAATACAACGTTCTGTCTAAACAAAGAATCATAGTCGCCATTGACTCGTGGCCACGCAATTCGAGGTATCCTTTAGGCCATTTCGTCCGCGCATTAGGTGAAATAGGAGACAAGGCGACCGAAAATGAAGTAATACTTTTAGAGCATGATGTTCCACATAGTCGGTTTTCTGACGCTGTTCTCAGTTCGCTTCCAAAAATGCCATGGTGCATCACAGAAGTTGTATGTACAATAATAAAACTAGATACATACGATTGCCGCATGATTCACGTAATTTGAATACACGGTTTGATGTCACAGGACTTAGTACACAGAGAAGATCTTAGATATTTAGATGTGTGTTCGGTTGACCCGCCAGGATGTACAGATATTGATGATGCACTTCATTGTAGAGAGTTGTCTAATGGCAATCTTGAAGTGGGTGTACACATTGCAGATGTAACACACTTTATTAGACCTGGCACAGCTTTAGATAAGGAGGCGGCTTTAAGAGCTACAACTGTATATTTGGTTAACACAAGGATCGATATGATTCCAGGTGAAAATGACTGATTTAGCAATAGTGTAACCCCGTAGTATGTGTGTTCAAGCAACTAACGGTGAAATATTAACGATTACAGAATTGCTTAGTTCGAATCTTTGTTCTTTGAGAGGAAATGAAGATAGATTAGCATTCTCTTGTATATGGGAAATGGACCGAGATGCTAGTGTAGTTAACACAAGATTCTGCAAGTCGGTAATTTGTTCACGAGCGAGTATGACTTACGACGAAGCTCAATTGAGAATAGATGACTCTAATCAGCAGGATGTGCTCGCGATATCGATGAGGAATCTTAATAATTTGGCTAAAAAGTTAAAGAAGAAACGTTTGGAAAATGGGTATATATATATATATATATATACTTTTCGTTAACAGCGACTTCGTCAGCCACAAATTAAAATCTTTACAGATACATAATGAATATTTTTATTATTTCAGTGCATTAGTACTAGCCTCACCAGAAATCCGTTTTCGCGTTGACGACGAAACTCACGATCCGATTGACGTGGTGGCGAAGAAATTAAAAGAAACTAATTCTATGGTTGAAGAGTTCATGTTGCTAGCGAATATATCGGTTGCCAAGAAGATTGTGACTGAATTCCCAGAGTGTGCTGTGTTAAGAAGACATCCTGAGCCACCTCCTGCTAATTTCGAACCCTTAATAAAAGCTGGAAAAAATCAAGTACAAAACATTTGCTAGAGAGATAATGGAATGTAATTCATGGATGATACTTTTAATGAATCTTGTTCCAATAGGGTTTCGATATAATCGTTAATACCGGAAAGGAATTAGCGGAATCCTTAAACAAATGTCACCAAGAGGGAAATCCTTACTTCAATACCATGTTAAGAATATTGGCTACTCGATGTATGATGCAGGCTGTGTACTTTGTCAGTGGAATGCATCAACAAAGCGAATACTTTCACTATGGTTTAGCGTGTCCTATTTATACTCATTTCACTTCACCCATTCGAAGGTAAAAATTCATAGTATAATGATCCACAACGAATTTAATTATTATACTTTCATTTAATTTGCAGGTACGCAGACGTAATGGTTCATCGTTTATTGGCGGTTTGTATAGGAGTTGATGCAACTTATCCCGATTTATTAGATAAGAAGAAGAATCATTCTTTGTGTCACAACTTGAATTATCGAAACCGAATGGCTCAGTATGCCGAGCGTGCATCTGTTGCGCTTAACACGCATGTTTGTATTTGTTTCCCTTTTTATTTTTATCATTTAAATGTGCTTGTATTAATGGCACATGCTCTTCTCTCTTCAGCTGTTCTTCCGGGAGAAGGTTCAAGATGAAGAGGGATACATACTTTTTGTACGAAAGAACGCGTTACAAGTGTTGATCCCAAAATACGGGTTAGAGGGAACTTTGTATTTAAAGGACAACAAAGAGGCATCTGTGTCATTCACATACAGTAGCGAAGATCATTCTCAGACTTGCGGGAATATCGTGTTTCGTACATTTGATCCTGTTGTAGTGCAAATCTGTTTGGACAGATCTAATGTACAGCATGAAAAATTAATATTTAAACTTGTTAAGCCACATGTAAGGATACCATAATGGATTACATCTTTGTAAATTACCTAATAAGACCAGGTATTGAGCATAATAGTAAATACAAACATAATTATATTGTTATAGATCCCAGGATTTAGCGTTTCTCCAGTCAGTGGAGAAATGTCATGTATTGTTCAACAAGAAAGTACAAAAGAGGTGACCAAACGAAAAGCAGACCAAGAAAAAGTTGCAGAAAATAGTACAGAAACCGATGAAGGCAAGACGAAGAAAAAGAAAAGAAAGAAGAAGAAGAACTAGTACCGTTGTATATTTCTTCCTTTTTAGAGATCTATTTTCGAGTGTATTTTATACATTGTGCGTTTCAAATATATGTAAAACAGGAATAAATTATTTTATAACCTCGAACACTATCTTCTTACATTTGTATTGCAACAATGTCATATGAAATGAAAAAGAGGTAGAAATAAAAGAAATGTACAAAATCTATCTTCAAGGGAACGTAAGTGTTTTGATATGTTTTAAACCAATTATATGAAAGCTTAAACGACACGAGGTTATGCACTGTCAGTTGTTTTCCTCGAGTATAAAATTGTTTAAATGTAGATTAAGAAATGGAATACCAATATTTTTTACGAAATATGCATTAGCTGCAAATATTCATACATACATGAACATATGCATTTATAAATTTTAATCATAAGTATAAGTTTGATAAACAATGTTTCATACATGGTGTGCAGACATCGAGTTCGAGAATTCTTTATGCAGCACTGCTGTCTGTACATCTGATCTTAACAAATATTAACAGTAATATGATATTATTAATTTTCCATAATAATTTTATATAAATTCAGACTTGAAGCTTCCCAAGAAAAAAATTGTGGCTACATATTCAATTTTTTCTACGCGTAGAATCTTCTGTTTCTCGATTACACTCGGATTTACGGTACACAATGTATATCTGTGCAATGCATGCGTAGTTTGTTACGCAGCAACTAAATCAGTACAAAAAAGCTGTATCGTTTCGAATGATAATAAAAATTCATTCAATAAAGGCCATTGTCTTTCCAGAGAGGCAAAACGTTTGAAAAACGTAGTGTCTCTGGTGTCTCTTGCGTGCATGTTTTTCGTGGAAACTTCCACGTTATCACGATGGATTTTGGTGTTACACCAAGAATGGAGTCCGTGTTGCCAACATAACTGTCCGCAGCTAGAGATATTTTCGGTAAAATCGTGGTTCGAGGAAAAAAAAGAATTGATACCACGTTTGTTGTGCGGCGGTAAATCGCGCCGCAGAGTTTCCGTTCGATTTCTACGGAAACGATCGACATCCACGGGACCCGGACACCAGGGGAACGTTTTGGAGTTGAAAGTTGGTGTTTTGATGTTTGTAGTTCCGGCGAATTGGAGCAACGAAACAGACCACGGGGGTCGCACGCGGGGTACCGATACGCGTGTTACGGTGTGCGCGGATATCGTAAATAATTATTTTTTTAAGCCCCGTCCCAATCGTAATCGCGGTTAAAATCGAGATCCTGCACGTAGCGTAGCGTGATCATCGTGTACGATTTACTCACGAGGCCGGCTCGACTACCGAACTCTGTTAAATATGGCGAACAGTGTAGCACCAGATTCATGGGAACAGCAGGCGGACAATGGGGACATCGGCCCATCGCAGGACAAGTCCATCGAGAGCAAATTCTCGACCCTGAACGTGAACGCCGCGGAATTTGTGCCTTCATTTTGCATCCATTCGTCACCGCAGGACAGTAACGCGGCCGACAGTTCCTGCAATGTCGCTGTCATGACGAACAGTGTAACCACCTCCATGCCCCCTGAAATACATCATGGTTAGTTTCAATACAGAATCACGATTGATTCTCTTGTAAATCCGTATGATTTTGCATCTAGCTTCTATTCAATATACAGTTTGAGTTCTCTGTTTCAGCAAGTGCTCTGTTACAATTGTTTCAGTTAACCCCTGTTGGTTTGCTCGCACAGAGATCTAGGTGCCAAAATTATGTATTATTAAGTTTGCTATTAATGCAATGTTGTGCAATACAGGTGCTCATATGGAATGCTAAGCATTTGTTGATGCAATAAAATCACAAAGATAATAGCTAACTGCAAGCTTAATTTTAGAAAGAGTCTCATTGATGGTACAATTTTTGGAGTATTTTCATCTATTGTACATCAATTTTTTGGGATATTTTGATCATTAATTGTGTTATTAATTATATGTGTAAACTTGGTAAAACCTGAATTTTGTAATCTGTAAGAATTACTTATAAACATTCATGAAAGTAGAAAGTTGATTATCTAAGAAGAGATTAGACAATTGAAAGAAGTTTTCAAATGACATATTTTTATAATTTTTTTAATTGATTAAGTAACAGTAGATTATGTAAGGGATCAGCAGAGCATGAATCCCTACAAATATTTCAAAGGTCATAAATGTATTGAATATTAAATATGGTGAATTAGCAATAACAAGTTTGAGCTAGACATCTTTTGTACATCTGTGTAAATGTAAAACAGAACAAATGAGCAGAGTACTGTGAGTGGAACTGAAAGGTTGTTTCATACACAATGGAATATTATTATTACAGGCAATGCCACTCCAGTGGTTCTACCAGATCCAGTTGGCAGCCGTGTGGAGGAACCGCCTGCTGGAGGAGGGGCTCCACCTCCCAATGTCGGTGATCAAATAAATACAAGTCCTGAACATCAACCAGCTGATTCCTGGGAAGAAGCAGCAGTGGACGGAGATCCTCTGTTAACTCCTGAAAATGAAGAAGTATGCTCAAGCTTTTATAAATAGCCTGACATACATAGAAGGAGCTCCCTCAGAGTTTGTTTAACTTTTAAATTTCTAATATTTCTATTAAACTGTACCTTAAGAAAGTTTGAGAAGTTTGAGTAGGTGTTTGAATGTTCCGTTTGTTGCTTGAGATTACATTTGTATATCTGAATTGTTTATAGGTTGACAATGAGGAAGACGAGGAAATGGTTGTTAAAGTACCTAAAAAGAAGCCTGTTAAAGTAACGGAGGACACTAAGAGTAAAAAGGAGCATGTTAATGTTGTTTTTATAGGACACGTTGGTAAGCGATGATTAAACACATTACGTATGTGGGTGTGACCTCGGGGGCGAATTAAGGACAAGAGAAATAATGATATAACCGGTGTACACGTTACAGATGCAGGAAAATCAACGATCGGTGGTCAAATTATGGCGCTGACGGGGATGGTGGATAAGAGAACTCTAGAGAAGTACGAGAGGGAAGCAAAGGAGAGAAGTAGGGAGACGTGGTATTTGAGTTGGGCCCTAGACACAAATCAAGAAGAACGGGAGAAGGGGAAGACGGTGGAAGTCGGTAGAGCGTATTTTGAAACGGAACGAAAGCATTTCACTATCTTGGACGCACCTGGCCATAAAAGTTTTGTACCGAATATGATCGGTGGAGCGGCGCAAGCCGATCTTGCGGTTTTAGTTATCTCTGCACGGAAGGGCGAGTTCGAAACTGGCTTCGATAGAGGTGGTCAGACGAGAGAGCATGCTATGCTGGCTAAAACCGCTGGCGTGAAACATTTGGTTGTGTTAGTAAATAAGATGGATGATCCGACTGTAGAATGGGATGAAGGAAGGTACAATGAATGCAGGTGCGTAACATACGAAACTATCGTCTAAGAACCTATGCTAAGCGTTAATAACTTAAGACGTCTATATAAAAATAAAAATACGCGATTCATATTTCACACTTATAGAGACAAAATACTGCCATATCTTCGAAAATTGGGATTCAACCCTGCAAAGGATCTTACGTTCATGCCAGTCTCGGGGCAGTTGGGTATTGGCTTGAAAGACCCGATACCAGAACACCTTTGTACGTGGTACAGTGGTCCACCGTTCATATCCTTCATCGATTCGTTACCTTCACTTAATCGTAAGAACAACGGACCCTTCATCATGCCAATTGTCGATAAATATAAGGATATGGGAACAGTGGTAATGGGCAAGGTAGAAGCTGGAGAGGCAAAGAAAGGACAGTCGCTACTTGTTATGCCTAATAGGGTAAAATATCAATGAATGAGTGGGATATACTGTGTAGGAATCATACGATTATTTACTTATCTTTATATCGCTGTTTGTGTTCCATTAGACTGCAGTGACGGTAGATCAGTTGTGGTCGGACGACGAGGAAGTAACATCGGTTGGTCCAGGCGAGAATGTAAAGATTAAATTAAAAGGCATTGAAGAAGAAGACGTGAGTCCTGGATTCGTATTATGTGACAGCAACAATCCAATAAAGACGGGAAGAGTGTTTGATGCTCAAGTAGTCATCTTGGAGCATAAGAGTATCATCTGTGCCGGCTACAGTGCAGTGATGCACATCCATTGTGCCGCGGAAGAAGTCAGAGTGAAGGCATTGATTTGTCTTGTTGATAAAAAGACGGGCGAGAAAAGCAAAACCAGGCCAAGGTTCGTCAAACAGGACCAAGTGGCAATAATGAGAATCGAATGCGCAGGTGTTATATGCCTTGAAAGATTTAAATTGTTTCCACAGATGGGACGTTTCACCCTCAGGGATGAAAGTGAGTATAGAATTTTGTCTTTATATACATAAAATGGTGTGTATCGGGTGTTCGTGGAAGGCACTGAAAGTTGTAGTGCTTTCGTGCGTTACTACAAGAAACTGATATCAGCAAATACTTGTGGAATCTAAATATAGCGTTCGATAATGGTGGTAACCGGTTCTCTCCTGTAATTTCCAGATAAGACTATCGCGATTGGTAAGGTGCTGAAAGTGGTGGAATAAATGTTGCTCAACTGTGACCACAGATTGGGATTATTAATCAGTTTCGGAAACGACGAATGAACATACGCAGAAGAAGTACGCAAAGCTGAACACAGTACGCACGAGAAAAACGTAACCAGCGTGACGAACTATTCGCAAACTACCGTTAATTGTAACGTACACCGATCTATACGCAAATGAAGCAGGCAAAAAAAATACAAAAAGGAAATAAGTTCTACGTCAAATGGAAAAAGCACAAGTTTCTTCTAATTAGATAAGCCGAACGATAAACGCTCGCATCGGAGTTGATTATAAAAATATCGAATGATGATGATCAAATGATGTACGATGTCTCCTTTAATATTGTAAAACACGATATTTTTATTCTTCTGAGGCGCGAGACATTAACGATCGTAAGGGAGGGGATACGGATTACCGCGAATAAAAACTAAGGGAAAAAAATATTATTATTAATATTATTGTAATGATTATTGAATAATTATTATTAAAATTTTGGTGGTAAAAAATTGA